GCCACTTGTCACTCCGATGCTTTTTTTTGACACTTTAAGTTCGCAGGATTGTAGCCCTACAGGTCAGTTTGACTGTCGTGACCAACTGGAGGTCAAAGACCAGGTTCTTTACTGGATCTTTGCACTTGTAGGGTAGTGTTTGGGTGGAACATGTAGAGTTTGGGGATGGTGAGTCTGGTGCCGCTTTTTGGTACCGAGGCCCTACACGGGCATGGGCTCTGAGGGAGGCGGCGTCGTCGGCATGATGGAGGTCGTCGAGAGCGACTTCGCGCGCTTGGAGGCGGAGACCACCTCGGCAGAAGAGGCGTCCAAGAAGGCCGCGACCTGGGGTGCGGGTTGCTAGACATTTGGAGCGGTTGAGGGATGGAGCGCTTGACTGGAGCGTTGGAGCAACACGCCGCTTTGGGGACACGCGAGATTCGCGACACTATGATTTGAGGGCAGGAGTAACTAGCAGGTCAACTGCAGAGTGTACTTTTGATTTCTCGATGAGGCCGTGTTGTGTGAATCCGGGTGAGATCTTTTGATCTAGAATGACTAACACACAGTGCTTCCTTCAGTACTTGTGCCAATGACATCCAATGACCATGTTAACATCATATATACAATTCTAATATGATATACAATTATTTTTTTTTGTCCGGCTCTTTTCCGCAGTGGAAGGTCGGCGCTGGTCTCATGCCAGCCAAGTGCGAATGTCGGTAGATCTCGGCTTTGAGCAAGGGTTGCGAAGCTTCTGCGACAGGTGGATCACTTCGCCGTGGATCGTGTGCGGAGATGGCACAGGTTGCACTCCAAGCTGTTGCCCGTGCGGTGCATCTCATGTGTTGGATGCCCAAACCATTTGCTGGCCTCGAGAGGGCCATGGTGACATACCTCTCCCAGGAAGCGGTGGAAGATGTCCTCACCTGCTCTAGCCAACACGTACCCTTTGCAACGGTCACACCTGAGGTACGCTTTGTCAAGCCGTAGATGGTGTGTGCCTTCAACTGCCTCGCCTTGGGCGTCCAAGAGATCGTGTATGACCTCGAAGCGGGTCTTCTTGGAAGTACGACCCGGCACAGCATGCGTGCAAGCTTGGGCGAGGCCGTCCTTGATCTCATTGACCATGGACTTTGCATGAAAACGCTGCTTGCACTGGGTGCATTGCACTCCCGATCTGTAAGCAATCCACTGATGTCCCAAGGCACTGGGCTGAGACAGGAATTGCTCCAGCAGCTGCTTCTTCTGAGTAGCAAGGGGTATCTTCTGACAGTCAGGAATCTCCTCTCGCTTGTGAATGAAGTGGGCTTTGTCCTTGAGGAAAAACTCGATTCGTCTCGCTGCCACGTGAAGGATGTCTCTGGTGTCCTCATCAATGTGGCGTTGGAGATCAAGGGTCTCCTCTGGCCTGGCTAGGAGAGCAGCCTGGGTGGCCTTGGCCTGTGTGTCTTGCTGGAAGGCCTGTCGATTTGGGCTGGAGTGCATTTCCTTGGTCTGGAAAAGAAGCAACCTGATCTGAGCAAAGTCCTCATGCTCCAGACCTTGAGTGAGATCAGGGAATTTGGCATAGGCCGTCCATGGATTCCAAGCGTCCCAGATGGCCTGGCTGAAAACTGCCACATGAGCCTTGTCCCTCAAGTGAAGAGACATGTGCTTCAAACCATAGAAGAGGGCTCGAAGACGGGTGGCTTCACCTGGGCAGATGCCGGTTAAGGATCCAACTCTCTCTTTGGACTGGATGTGGTGAATGCAAATCGCAAAGGCGAATCGCTTGTGTCGTGGGTCTCTGCAGGTGGGAGCAACGGCGAGAGAGACAGCATGCCCAGGAGGAAGATGGCACGCCTCTAAGTCCGCCCAGAGCCCTTCACCATTGAAGGTTGCCATTCCCCCATCTTTGATGAAGATGGACTGAGTCATGCCTCGGTTCCACAGCTCCGGTTCTGTGCCTGCTTGAAGACGCTCACGCCATTGGTCCGGAAGGGCAGGGACTTTGCCATCCCAAAAGGTGCACTCCCATAGAAGGTGGATGAAGGTGAGCTCGACACCGCATAGCGGACACTTGCCTGACTGGCCATGGAAGGTGCCTTGGTGGAAGGCCCGAAGGGCAGAGTTGAAGCGCTCCGTGGAGATCTTCTGGAGCGTGTTGCTGACCGTCCAATCCAAAGGACGTTCCAAATCGTGGCAACCCACATGCCTTGTCAGGCGGAGGAGCCGTTGCCAGCGAAATTCCTCTTGTAGCTTCTGTTGGATCTCAGGCCAACCATCCGTCAGGCAAAGATGACAGTCAGGAATGCCTCCATAACCGGTTCTCTTCCACAATTTGCCATTTGAGATGTCGAAGTCATAGTCAAGGAGGTAGGCTTGTAAGGCTTGAAGAGGACCAGTCACGACTTGCCACCTGTATTTGGCCTTGAGGAGAATGTCCAAGGCGGAGTTCCAGCTGATCCAGAAGAGGTGCTGGGCACTGTCATCAAAGGCATGGAAGATCTTCCAGACCGTGTGGATGTGCTGAAGGATGATTGAATCGCCTGGATCTGGTTTGTTGGGGTGCATGTCGAAGACAACATCAACAGAACCAGACCGTTGAAGGCGTAGACCCCGGGCAGCCATGACGCGGATTTGTTGTCGTCTTTGGGGGCTAGCCCGTTGGCCTGAGCGCCCCAGGTCATCACTGGATGGATGGCCCCTCGATGCAACCTGTATTTGATGCTGGGATTGAGCTTGAGGCGCATCATGATCCCAGCTCTGCCTCTGCCCTTGAGGTATCGCTTCTTGATCTGTGCGACCCGTCTCCGCTTGGAGTTTGTGGCGTCAATGCCAAGGTCCCGGAGAACATTGTGATGCTGAGGGTCTCCAGGTTGTAGGTTGGTGTCCAGAGCTTTTGCAGCCTCCTTGCTGCTGGTGAGGAACCCGGTTTTGGCAGAGTTGATCTTGAGTCCGGCCTGCTCCAGGCGTTGCTTCAGGGTGCGGAAAGCCAAGATGGCTTCACGAGCAACGTAGTCTGGATCCCTGCCCTTGATGTCGAAGGAAACATCGTCAACCCAGGTCTGCAGCTGAACAGCAGGGTGAGTTTGGACCAAGTCTCGCAGAGGTCGAAAGAGGACCAATTTGGCAATTGCCGGAGCTTGAGGACAGCCCTGAAGGATGCCTTTCTCATAGTAGATGGGATTGCCCGCGATGCCTTCTGCCTGGATGAGCCTCGGGCCCGTGTACAGGTCAAGCGCCAGCTTCAAGTGCAGCGGTGGATAGTGAAGCTCTTCGGCAGGTTCGATGAGGTGGTCAAGCTGCACTGTGTCGTAAAAGCAGGTGAGGTCTGCCAAACAGGTCACAGTATGGATGCCTTGGTGCTTGCCAATCTCAGCCTTCAACATTCGCCCGACCGCAATGGAGAGGCAGTCTTTGTGAGGGCGTGCAAAGTCCCAAGGCATATCCTGGTCCAAAGACAGCTGCCAGCGATGAAGCTCATGCTTCCTGTAAGTGTTCCACAGCCTGTAAAGGCAAGATGTGAGGGCAATGGGTCTCTCGATGCGCTCATTCTTTGGGATCATGACGATGTTGGTGTGTCGAAGCTGGATTGGAAGTTCAGCCGAGCGCTCCATCTCAGTGAATAGAGAGGCCAACCTGGATACCGCCGGATAAGGGAGATGCCGTAGGAAATCGTAAGAAATTCCATCCGGTCCAGCTGCCTTGTTGGGGAGCTTCCTCATGAGTTTGCCCAGGAGGGCGGTGTCAACTGGAGGTAGTTGAGCCGCTGCCGCTTGTGCAATCCGTCGCAACTCCTGAATGCCTCTGATGTGGCATGGGGCCTGAAGAGGTTTCCAGATCTCTCCCCATTGCTGTTCCCGGGCTGGTATCCTTTGAGTATGTGGAATGTCCTGGAAGGGTCGTTTCCAGCTATGGTCTTTTTGACGTAGACTTCTGAAAAGGCCCCTGAGGCCTTTGTCATGAGCCTTTTCCAGCCACTCTCTGAACTCGTGGTTGGTGGCACTGAGAAGTTGCTGTTGAGCTCTCTCCTGTTCCTGATGGACTGCGTCTTGCAGCTCGGCAGGATCAATGGCCGCCCCAAATGTCCACTGAGTGAGTCTCTCAGCAAAGTGTGACTGATCCAATTGTTTCGAGGCATGATGGGAAAGCCTTTCCAGCATCTGTCGCAGATCATGTAGGACGTTGGGATGTCTCTTGTGCTGAGCCACGTTAATCCGGACTCCCATCCTCTCCCAGTAGGCAGCACTGCCTTTCTTCCAGACCTGAGGTTTGGAGGAGTCAATCAAGGGAGCTTGGAAGAGCTTGATTTTTGATCCTCGGCCCGTGGTTGGCTTCTGCAGGGTTTGGCACAGGTACTTCTCAGTCTGTGTGGCCCACCTGGCAAAGTCTGAACCCAATCCAGTGATGGTCTGCCCGATGATCTCAAAAGGGCCATCATCTTCGTTGTAAGAGGTCCAATTGTTCGGAAGTTGGTAGACCCTTGCGATGGGTGGGAACCGCTGAAGTTGTTGGACTGGCACTGCCCCAGTGGTGCAGTTCAGCTGCAGAGAGAGAGCACAGTGCGGCTTCCAAGGAACTTCCCAATCCGCTTCCAAGGTGACAAAACTGGCCAGAGAGATGGATACAAGGCAGAAGTCGAGGTGACTGCCTTGAAGTGTCGTGGGCCCTGTGGTGGCCACAATCTGCGCTCTCATCTTGCTGGGGATGTTGGTTGCCGCCAGCTCCTCCGGGGAAGTTTGCCAGTCTCCGCCGACAATGAATGGTGCTTGGAGATGATCCAAGAAGTGAAGCAGCTGCCCAAGGATGTCTGCATTCAGTGTCGACTGCAGGGTTTCGCCCGTTCTGAGGTAAAGCTGGACGAGATAGATGTTTTGGCCTTGGCGCTCCATACAAAGTGCTGTCCATCCATTGCCCTGCTTGGTGTAGTCGTGGACGTGATGGATGAGGTGTCGGGCAGGATGAAGAGTGATGAAACCGCCCGTTGAGCCTCCATTGCCAGTGGGCTCGGCTGCCACTCCATGACATTTCCATCCTCTGGTGGAGAAGTACTGCATGGTGTTATCGAGACTCGCGGTTTGCAGGTGGGTTTCCTGAAGCATCAAGATGGCGTCCGCCTTTGTCCAAATCCAGTCCTGTACTTTCTTGCCAAAGAAGGTGACATTGCCAAAGAGCAACTGCAAAACCTCTTGCGCCTTCTTGGGCTTCTTGGCTAGGGTCTCCGCAATCTCAATGGCCGTGTCAGGGACCAGTTCAGCCGGGCTTGAGAGGACCAACCAGACCTGAGAGATCTCCTTCATCTGTTGAGGCGAAATGAAGGAAATCGGAGTGGGGTAAGTTTCATCGTCCCCCAGCCAGTAGGCATTGTCTATGGCCAAGATGCTTTGGTAGTGACCATTCTCATGACCTTCGCCTTGGTGCAAAACCATTGCCACGATCTGGTAGGAGGCATAGTGCACATGGATGCCATCCTCAGAGAAGGGAATGTTGAGTCTCGTGGGAATCTCAACTTCTCGATGATGCTTGGTCCATTGCCCTTGGTGATGGGTGGACCTCTGCAGGTTCAAAACCAGCCCATCTGGGGAGCCATACAGGTACTGTCCATTGCCCTCATCAGCCCAGTGATTGATAAGGTCGTCCAGGGTGGCAAAGGCCGGATCATCGGGGAAGAGTAGGTTGAGAGGGAATTGTTCCCGTTCTTCTAGTTGTCCTCTGGTGTTCCGATGGAAGAATCTCCCTTCGAAGAAGGTACTGCCCGCGAAAGACCATAAGGAGTGCAGGAAATCAGCCGCATCAGCTTGTTCATCCGCCTTGAAGGGAGCCCAGACTTGGTGCATGTCATGGAGACCTTCAAGGAGCTGGGGCTCGCTATCAGATAGGTATTGTCGGACTGCTCGGTGTGTTCTGCCCCATGCCAGTGCTGCATCTTCAGCAAAGCCTCCCGCCCAACACCAGCATCTCCAAGGTGCATTGCCAAAGCACTTGTTCTTGGGATTGTGAAGAATGCTGGTGAGGCATTGGGAGATCACAAAAATGTTGGCCATTGAGTGTTCCACTTCGCCAGGTACCTGAAGGTGTTTGTGCACCAGGTTCTGCATGCGTTTGAGGTCCATGAGCAGCTGCTGCCCATTGTGTAAAGTCTGATGATTGCTATAGGCCTGACTGGAGGTGTTCAGGTCCTGCACGCACAGGTTGTATAGAGTTTGTTGCTCAAAAGACATTTGGTTGTCCTGTTCATCCACAGTGTGCAGCATCTTGGTCAAGGCTCGGATGGCGGAGGTCCCGAAAGTAGCAGTCCCCTTGCGGGGCTGCTCTGAGGTAGGTGAGCTCGGTGCCTCCGGATCCGCCTGACGCGGTGCCGCCTTGGAAGTAGTCAAAATCGCCCCCCCCAGGATCTTGGGGCCGCCAGTGTGTCGCCGGCAGGGCCCATAGCCCGAAGGAAAAGGACGGCTCGTGCTTGAGCCTAATTGCAAAGGTGATTCAACATGAAGTGCAAAACCCCTGCACTCATGTGTAGGTGTCCCCTGTTCATGGGCAAGATGCCATGAGTCAATCCCCAAAGTAGACTGTTCACAGGCCGAGACTGAGGATGGGCTGTTACCCACCCGACGTTTGGCTGCCTGGAGCTGTCTTGCGTCGTTTGGCCTCTTCCTCAGCATCAGCCTCGTTTGATGGCCTCTTCAACATGACATGAAGTTGGTCTTTTTGCTCCTGGGTGAGGTTGAGTCCAAGAGTGCTCAGAAAACCAGAAACTGCCTCGGGGACTGAGTCTTTCATCTCAGTGTCCAGAGGTTGCAGTGGTTGTTCCATCTGCATGGCGCTGACTTTGGTCATGTAGGCCGTGCTGATGGTGTTAAGGGAGCTCTGTTCAAGTTCAAGCTTGGTCTGCAGAGATTTCATCTCATCAAGCAAATCCTGGTAGTGCTTCTTGGTGCTGTCAATCTTCTGTTGCAGGATCTGCTTCCGATGCGAGATGTCCCTCAGAGTGGAGACTTGCTGCTTGAGCTTCTGGGCCATCTCCTTTTCTGACTCTGGTTGTGGCTTGGTGATTCTCTCAACCAGTTCCTTCACAGGTGCCGGAAGGCTGGCCAAATTCTCCTTGAGCACATCCGTGAGGTCAGGTTCGGTTGTTTTGGGCGTCGGATTGATGCCCAGTTCGGTGAGCTTGGCCTTCATGGTTGGATCCATGGTGTCCCATGCTGGAGCTAAGATCTCCGCTGCATTCTTCTGGAGGCGTCCTGGCTTGGGTGGTCGTGCATGTGGAAGACCTGGAGGAGGGGTCAAAGATCTCGTCTGCCGAGTCTGCCATCTCCTTCTAGGCCGGTAGTTGGAGGTCTTGCCAGCCGCTCCTTGAGTTGGTTGCTTCCAAGCCGCTCCACAATGCCTGCATGTATATCCAGGTTGGATCCTATCTTCCCAAATCCAGTTCCTGCAGGTGCTCGAAGTGCAGGTCTGGTAAGTCCGCGTGCTCCAGTCCATGGGATCGTGTGCAGGTAGAGTCCGAAGATGGTGCCTGCCTTCTCTTCAGGGATGGTGTGCTCGTAGACGCGAAGTGCCAGAGCGAGAAGTGGCGTCCTGATCCTTGAACCGAGAAGGCTTGAGCCAAAATGGCTACGGAGATATACAATTAATATATATATATATATTATATATATATATTATATCCCTTAAGAAACAAGAACCGGTCTTCAAAAGGGTCAGTGAAAACCATACTGTGTGTTGTGTTTCTAAATGAAAACACATTGTTTTTTAAATGTAGACTCTACATTCAAAAAGGTCTTCATCTAAGAGGTTTGTCAGGATGTTTGACTTACCCCTTTCTCATCCTGTCCCACCATTCATTCCAACCATGGTAAATCATGAGTTGAGGCTACGTGCTCCTCAATGTCTCAACCTTGTATACATCGGAAGGGTTCAGAAAATACAACAACAACAACAACAACCATTTTTGTGTTTTCAGGCATGTTTTGCAAAAAAACATGCAACATGTTAAGAAACTCCTTCCAAACATCCTCCGGGGAAAAGTTATATAAACAACCCAGAAGGAATTGCCGATTACTACGGGGTAAAGTACGGGTTTGCACGAGCTTGGCACGGGTTGCGAAAACATAATATAATGTTTCTTAATACCACCCGATGGGGAGGTATTTGTGCAAAAGTACGGGTTTGGTACGGATTTGGCACGGGTCGACATCCACGTTCATGTTTTCACTGTATTTCTCAGGTGTCAAGATCTTGGGTGATTTTCAGAGCAGACACTTTCTATGAATCATGCTATATAATTGTTGTTCTTGATTCTCTTTGTGCAGTATGCGAGCTGGGTGGAGGACATTGGACCTCAGGCGCCAACGGAGACCCATTTGGAATATTTGAAATGCCCTTATTACTCATCAACACAAAGCCTTAGAATGTCAAGAATTAAGAGTTTCCGGGAAACGTGATGTTTTTGCGTTCACCCCGTTAAACATCTTTAAAATAAAGAGGCTTTGGTGCTTTTCATTTATATCTACTGTTTCCATAAAGATGCGGTGCAAACAAGGCTTAGAAAACAACACATGCCACCTGAAATTCATCCAAGACACAGGTCCTAAACATAATCTCGAAACATACCTTCAAAACATTCCTCTTACATATTAGATGACCAACGTTGCGACAGTGGAATTGGTTTTGATGTTGAGTTGTGAGCCACAGCTCATGGCCAGTGGCTATCTTCTTGAACCTTCTTGAACAGCACTTAAGCCTTAAGCACACTAAACATCAAACAGCTTATTTTTTTCCCAACCCACATGTTGCAAACACATGCTCAAATCCCGATACCCCAAAAACATCTCCGTGATGCATGACGCCCGAAGTATCCCCGTGGGCCTCGTTTGCTAGACATGGCGCTACGGACGACCTTCATTTGCTACAGACACCTGAGCCAACATGCCCCCCTGCTTCAAGACGTGTTGCCGCCTGCCCTACTGCAAGACATCAAAAACTAGAAAATGCATATTGACCTTAATTGACTTGGCCTCGGAAGAAAGGGGCTGCCACGTGCTCGTTCTTGGTGCATTCCTCCAGAACCAATCCTTCCTTCCTGCGCCCAGAACTTTCCTTTGCTGAAAGTTGATTTTGCCCTTGGTGTTTTGTTTGCTATGACCAGTTCTTCCATCTCCTCTCGGGCTGGAGCAATGAAGATTACAACACTCTCAGGTGCCACTGTCACCCAGCTTCATGGTTAGACAGATCAAAGAGGCTCCTAGCTGGTCGAGTTGGAGAGTTGGAGACTCAAGGTTTCGACAAAGACTCTTCAGTGAAATCATGAGACTTCGCTTCCACCAAGTATGCAGCTGGTAATCCTGGAATTCGTGCTTGAAGAGACAGCTTGGGAGGCTCTACTCCTGCGTGTGAGAACAATCGAGTTGTGGAAGCTACACAGTTTCTTCAGAAACCACTGGATCCCAATCGGAGAGGTGCAGACACTGTCCCTCCACCTCTGCATCAATCATGCAGCAAAACGGGGCCACTTGGAAGTGGTGCGGTTGTTGCTCGAGGCCGGAGCTGACCAGAACGCAGCAATGCAAGACAGGGAAACTGCGTTGATGGTTGCAGCTGTGAAGGCTGTGAAGGGCCACTTGGAGGTTGCGCAGTTGTTAAGAGTGGAGGTCGCGCATGAATTTGGTGCGCTTAGATGCGCTATATATAAGTTGGTTTAGAATGGTTTCCAACGTAAAATGCATGCATGCATGGCAGCTGCTCAACCACGCCGGTATATACACACACGACGATCGCACCCCTCCTGATGGGTCGAAGATCGCACCATCGACGTCGAGATGTCCTGTCCCTATGGGGCCTACCCCTCGACATCCTATCAAAGAGGGGCTGCAGAGGATGGCTGGTCTGCACAGCCGATACACAGGACCACCACAAGCAGGGTTTGTGCAATTGGTCGTGCCAGGAGTATGATGAATTCATGGAAGACTCCAAGATTGACAAGGTGCTGTCGCGTCGTGAACGCATCTTCCAAGTTGTTATGTGATGCAACACACACGTTTGGGGTGACATGTAATGACTAGAGATGCCTCTAGTCCGACTTTCGAAGCACTTGGTGGATCTAGTAGACATGTCAAACACCTCAGATATTAGTTGGAGGATGTTGGAGGTCTCCTTAAACCTATACCTGTTTGGGTTGCTTTGTTCACTCGTTGAACCTCCCAAAGACCGCTCTTTCTGCTTCGACGAGGGTCCTTGTCAAGTGAAGACCTGGAAAAAACCGCGCAATCTCCATGAGAGGCCAGCAAGGAGACTGCACTGAAGCAGAAAAGCGGCAAGACGAGTGCCTGGCTTTGCGTTTGTTGTATGTTTTTGTCAAGTGATTGTTGAATTGACATTCGCATGCGAGAACCACTTTACAATCCTTACAGGTCCCTTGGGCAAAGCCAACTTTGCCACCATTTGGACGAAGGAATCGGTAGAGTCCTCACATGTTCATGTGTGCATGTGGGAATTCGCCAATGGTTTGAGTAGACCGGAATCATTGTGGTTCAACGGTGCCAAATGGACAGACTCACCAGGTCACCGTTTATGGCGTTTCTTTCCGGAGATAAGACTGATCAATAAGACATAATAAGACCGGACCTTTGGGGATTCCTTTTTTGGCAGAAAGCACAGCGACAGATGGATGGGTCCGGTCCGGCGGTAGGCTCGGTCCCGGATGTGGGAACCTCCGAAGCGAGATGGTAGCTCCGGAAGGGTAGTGTGCCAAGAAACAGGACCACCCAAAAGCCGGATTTCTGCATACACAAAAAGTCAGGGTGCTCAGGGTCTTGTCAGCCGGCGCCCTCCAAACCTAGATCACAGTGTCTCCAAGCACCAATACCTGAGAAGGTACGACCGGATCCCTACAAACCCAATGAAAACGTCGCATGCCGCACCGGCTGTCGCGGTCCCACGGTGCTCCTGAGGCACCCAGAATCAGGAGTTGAGCACGGCCAGTGGGGATTTGGAGAACACCCAGAAGGAGCTCAGCGCTGCGAAGGAGTATTTCGAGAAGCTCAAGTGGGGTGCCCGGTGGGTGCGTTTCTGTCGGCTGAAAGAGCGCTTGATTGGTACAGGTGTAGATTCTGGAAAGGTGTAAAGTGCTTTATTAGTATATGTTTATATGATCTATAGCAGCTCGTGGAATCATGGTAGAAGAGAGGACCTCCATAATTTACCTGTAATGCAGAAAGCTTGCAAATTGTTTTTCACCCGACAACATTGGGTAGCGCTCGATGAAACTAGAGAGCCTACCCTATTGTGACCTTTTCTGCTACAGAACAGAAAATCCGACGCGCCTGGCCAGTCGAATGACGATTATATGACTGCAGACAGACACGCACACACACACACACAATGGCAACACCAAACCTACTGTAACCATCGGTAACCGCGACAACATTTGACAGTCGACAAGGACAAGCGGAGGAGAAGCAGACATGCATGAGAACAAGGCATCAGACACTGACAAGTAGCAAGCAGCATCAAGCAGCAAGCAGCATCAAGCAGCAAGCAAAAACACACCGTGGAATTCCTGAAAACATGCTCCAGGTTCTTTACACTGCTCACGATGTCCACTGCTAGTTGGGCAGCGATGGCTTGACCTGTCTTTCTTTATTTTTTTTGCAGGGTGCAATTTTCGCATGTGGAAGAGAAGGCTTTTGGATGCTTACATTACATGGTCCCACATGGTCCCAGCCATTGGTATATGCTGTGGCAATTTAGACGTTGCCTTAAAAGCAATTCATTCAACAACGAGGACCCTGAACTCGATCTCGATGCCGCCCTGCCACCCCTTGGATGAATCAACGCCAAGGCCGGACTGCATCGACATTGGCCCTTCCTATGCGGAACGCAAAGCACAAAGGGAGCAAGAGATGCAGGAGCGCCGTCCGATGAAGCGCCACAAAAGGTCCTTTTTTGAGCGCCACCGACGTTGGGGCGTCATTTGACGTGTGATTTGATGATCTTGATGATCTTGGTTGCGTCAAACCACAAGAGGGACATCACATCAAGTTTGTCCCATCAGTTTCACCCCTTTGTACACAGCCACCGCTGGCCTAATCCGTTCAAGCTCCTATAGGTCCGGCGTTTTGATCTCGTTCCATGGCCGGGCCATCGCGGAGTCCGCAGTAAGTCCGTGCCGAGTGAAAGACCAGGACCTCAGGGAAGCCTTGGAGATGCTCGGCAACCTGTAGGCCGCTCCTGAGGGTAGCAGATGGAGTGACGATAGGTGGTTGGTATCCGCTAATTTAGACTCTTGACCCCAACCATTTGAATTGAACATCCTCTTCATCTGGGGGAGTCTACATCAAGAGTCACCAAATAACGAGAGAAGACATGTTCGTTTGTTCGGTGAAAGCAGCATGTGGTGAGTCACTGGTCGCATCCGTTCGATCCCCGATCAGCTCCTTCAACGCCTTAGGCCGCCCACGGGCGTCGACGTCGACGCCTTCCGCCGAAAAGAAGAGCGGACCGAGACGTGACGGGACCGCAGGAGGGTTGGTCATCGACAGTCCAAGACCAACTCATTGAGTGGTTCAGACATGTTGAGAACCAGCAGTTTCAGAAAGGATGTCGTTTTTTTGGGGATAGGTGGGATAGGTTGCCGGGCTTGCCCATTCTGCACGGACTAAGAAAGGCAACCCCACTGGATTGGTAATAAACAAACCCAGCTAGTGTTCGTTCCAGCTTTTTAGTTTGGCCGCAGGCTACAGTATCACATATTACAATGATGTTTTCATTCATATTACATAACGAATGGAAAACTTGTGTTGCTAAGTTAAAGTCGCCTTTCAGGAGTTTCGGCGGCCCCAATTCGCTTTCGGTCTGCGGTTTCACCACACCGTTCGCGGTGCTTCTACGTCCAAGGTCGGTCACCGTTTCGGTCGTGCGCCACGTGCGCCCACACGTCGGCGTTGTTCGTTCCCGGCGGGGAATGACCTCACTGGTGCACCCAGTCCCAGTCCCGGCGTTTGTCTCAGAGTGCGGACACCTTGGCACTCTGAATCGAACCTGTCATGGTGGGAATTCCCTCACTTGAGACACCTCTACCACTCTTGGTGTCTCAAGTGATCTACAGATTTCAGGTTTTACATGCCTGCAGGGGCATAGATTGGACGTCGCGACAGAGAAGATGCATTGGCAGCGTCCCTTCGAAAGAATAATATATCTATTTGCCAAGAGTAATGATCAGGTGGTCTCCAAATAAATACCAGGTGGATCCCAAAAGGATCTATCTTCCAAATTGTATATAATTTGATACCTATTTTTATTCAGTTGGCATCCCTGGCTCCCGCCCCTCGCGTCTTCCGAAAGCCAAACCAAACACCGTTCGAACGCCTCGAACGCCTCGAACGCCTCGCCTCGCCGTCCTTTCCGCGCTGCCCGTCTCACCAGCCAAGCGGGGCCGCTCCAAGGTGGGAGGGCCGAGGGTGGAGTCCAGGTGTGTGGTGTACGGCCGATTCGAGTGGTAGACCATGCGTGTTTGGACATATGTTGTAGTCCAGCCCTGTGTGTTTGGATACATGTTGTAGTCCAGCACACCATCGGTAGATATGTTGTAAGATGTTGTATAAGCATAGGCTCCAATGGGTAGACTCTGACTATTGAGTAGACCATGGCAGACCCCTGAGCGGGGTTAGCCTTCCACCTTGGTCATCCCTGGTCCTCCAACTTCCGGGGTTCCTGTCGCCGTCCGCCCAGTTTCTGTCGCCGTATCCAGGGCGCGGCGGAGCCGAAACACCCTTTTGTTGACCTCCAAATAGATACTGTAGAACTTCGTAGATCCCCACTAAACCTGGCACGGTGCCATCCTCTCTACTTGGAAGTTCGTAGATCAACACACGAACAAAACGGTATGGGACACCGGTGCCATCCTCTCTATTGGGGGACCATGCACTAGAGACACGACGTCGACCTGGGTACCGGGTACCGGGTACCGGTCCATCGGGCCAGGCGTCATGGAGGGAAAGGGCGGCGGATATGGGTCGCAGATCCTCGGCTGAAGGAACACCTGACCTGGCTCATGACCTGACCTGGGTGACCTGAAATGGCTTTCTGTTCGTAAGTTCTACATGGCTTCTACCTGGCCAAAGCTTTGCCTTTCTTTGCAGAGCCAAAATATCAAATAACATATCCAGGCCACGGGAGAAGAGTCCAGCTAGCGCCAAAGAAGTTGCTTTGGTTGGGTTGACATCTGTGCAGGGTTGTCGGGGCTGAAGAAAGGGTGGGGCTCCATGTGATTTTGTTGTTCCAGCAGCTCTGATGATCAAATATTTGGCTGGCTCGATCCCTGTCAAGATGTAGGTAACATGTCTGTTGCAGCATTCTTGACACAGCTTGCATGCTTGATTGGAGAACAGACCCCAAAACATCTCAAAACCAACTGATGACTTCATCCAGTCCCCCAGAAGCTGCCAGGTCAGGTGCCAGAATTCCGGATAACTTCTGGACGTTGTGAGAAATGTGATGCGAAAACACCTCCTTGGACCATTTGGGCGGAAGGGAGTCGAGTGTCTCTACGGTCCTTTGAGCTGATCGAATGGGATTTCTTAGGCCTCAAAAAGGACTCCCTGGACACCCTCCTAGAACCCACCCCATGGACGAACCTCAGAAGGTACGACTGGAGTCCTAGGGTTGGTGATGGATGAGGTGGGTACCATGTGGGCAATGTATTGAGTCTGTCTATGGCACCCAGGGGTGTTGAAGAGGGGGTCATCCTCCTCTTCATCCAAATCATGGGTACTAAAAGTAGGAGATTGCCTGATATTTGCCTTGTTGATGATGTTGGTCGGCACCAAATCTTCTAAGCATCTTAGCATTTGAGAGCGCAGGCGCATGACCAATCCGTGGGGTTTGGACGGGCCCAGCTTTCTTCAAGCTGAACGTTTGGTGGTTCTGGACATGGCAATACGCATTCATGCAATCTCCATTCCTCGAAGTTTCTGCAGGGCTCGTTGATTGAATCTATAGTATATATTATATATATATGTACCCAAACAGTTTACTGTTGGGGTTCTATCTTAGCTGGCCACACTGACTGGCCGTGCCCCTGAAGTCTGTGGCCGGGCTCTGTGGCCGGGTCTTGTCCTCCTCTTGTCCTTCTCTTGTCCTGCTGTTGTCCTCCTCTTGTCCTTCTCTTGTGGCCGAACAATGAGCGATTGCCGCCAAAAATCACTGATAAAGCAGTTTGCTCTTGGGGGGGAAGGTAGGGCGTACCAAGAAACCGTTGACTAATGTTGGTCCAAACGAATCGTTTGGAAAAACTGTTTGGGGTCTATGCTGGTATAGTTTTTATGCAGTAATTTTCGTACACATTAGCATGACTTCACCACTTGGTTGGTTTTCTTTTGGAATCCAATTCACCTGAAAATTCCAAAAAGGGTGCCCCAACATTGCCCCATCCAACAGGCTCCAGGACCTTCACCACGCTCCTCACCTCCCGACCCGCCCAGGCATGTCCCTGGACTTACGGACCGATGGAGCAAAACGTGGGGAGTTTCGAGCCGAAGTCGCTGTGGAGTCCTGTGCCAATGCGGGCTGGAAGGCTGCTGGCTTTGCGCTTGACCCTGACAGACACTTGAGTAGCTTTAAAGTATATACAGGTCAACACGTCCACATGTGCAACGGAATGGTGAGAGGAAGAGAGCAAAGAGAAGCCTTGCGGGTTTTGACATGTTTTGACAGTGAAGCTGCAACTGCAGCTCTTGGTTCTCTTGATGGATCACTTGGGTTAGGGATCAGACATCTACAGTAGGCCCTCTATAGGCTGTAAGAAACTATTCCCTGTCAATGTTCCTCTACAAAATATAAGGTTTTTTGGCTCGATATAAAAGGCCATATGACATGATGATGCATTTGGGACCCTCATTGTTGAACTACCGACTCCACGGCTTTCCACACGCCTCACACGCTTCATCCCCTCATCCGCCACAGTCAACTGTGACGCCCACGCCCAGAGGGAGCGGTCGGTTGGCGGCGCGGCGCTCCTTTCGGAGGACCAACGATTTGAGGGCCAAATCGTGAAGTACTTGGTGGACAAAGGCTACGGCTTCATCAGGCCCGCGCTCTTGCGGAATCATGTCCGGTTTCCCGAGATAGGAGATGGCGTCCTCTCATCGGACGTCCTTTTTCTTGGAGATATATAATGAATCAACATAGATGAACATTAATGAATTCAGATGATACATATATGTATATATATATATATATAAATATATGTATGTATATTACATACCAGGACCCCCTGTTTGCGGTGTCAGTTGAAGGCCCCTTAGAGGTCAAGACACCCCTTGTGGGTCCTGGCATATAATGTTATATAGATCATGTTGCGGCGGAGGGCGCTTATTTAATGTGCTTTGTCGTGTGGGAAATCTCATGGCATGCGAAACGTGGATTCCGTTACAACAAATCATCTACCGCGCGGCGCGTTAGACGCAGAAAGACGTTCAGGCATTCAACAAAACATCCACAAGCAGACAAAACATCCAAAAGCATTCAACAAACCCAGATACTCCATGTATGTCATTTTTGACTACATTTTGGGGTGGTTTGGGTCAAAGCAACCATGTATGTATGCCATACATGGATTGTCTGGGAAAGGTTGACTCTGAGGTGGTGGAGTTGTCGCATGTTGACCTTTCAGGTGTCAAGAGCTGCGGCAAAGTCGATATCCAGACCGAGCAGGGACTCTCAGAGCGACATGTTTGGAGTGTCCAGAGCAGGGACTCCCAGGGGCACGAAAAAGTGGCAAAACCTGTGCAACTGTTTGTGTGCAGAAACATGATATAGAAGGAGGATAAACATCAACAACAGGCACAATTTTTCAATCTTGCGTTTCATCGAGCTGAAGTATCAAGCACTGCATTGTAGGAGTCATTATAGGCATTTGTTATCAATGAAGCACAATGAAGCAACAAGCAACACATTAGGTCTCGGTTGTTAAGTTATGTTTGCAGATGTTTGCTGCATCACCCTCAAAATCACTCACAATGGTTTTGTAGATAGTGTGGGTTTACCAGGAAGACCTTTTGGGGTTTTGCAAGGTTTTTGCCTTTTGCTGACCCTCAACTCTGATTTGCTTCGCACCTGCCTTTTCGGCTTACCCCATGTGACCGTCGCAGTCGTGACACGAGTGGGCCAGTCTTTTGTGGCGCCTCCACCTCACTATATATATATATATGCACTACATATATGACTATGCATGATGCACACATCAGACTGTGCAGTACGTAAACGACTATTACATATATACATCAGCACTGGTTTTCGCTCGCCCAGCCTTCAGGATATCTTTCTGCATCAAAAGCAGCTCGGGAACTTCAAAGAGGGCGACGCTGTGAGCTTCGGGGTGCCTTGGCAAGTCTAAGAGGTCTAAGAGGTTCGCCGGCTCGCACGCGGCGAAAAATCTGCCGCCTTGGTGACTGGGATAGAACTGGTAGAACTGGTTTCAAAGAATTCAGGTGGTGGAGATTGAATCATGTGATTGATTCTCATGTGACTCGCGAGCTTCTTTTTCGAACCACCAGCACCGGCTTTTCAACTGAGTCTGTGAGAATCATGGGTTGGGTAAACACGCTCAGTTCAAGTTGGGTAATCCCCATGTTTGACAACGTGTCTTTTCGTGTAGAACCCCAAAGCTCTTGCTTGTTGACAAGAAAAGGCCCATCCGGCAGCGTCGGGAAGACTACAGCGCCACGCCTTCAGCCTCCCATGGCAATGGCACGGTGGGGTGGTGAACACATCAATGTAAAGGGCGAGATCATTCGCAGGATTCTCTTCGTTTTTTGGCTCGTTTTGCTTCGCACCACGCAGCTTTTGTGATGACACTGACTGATGCTCAAGTACTGCACCACCCTTTCGGTCAACATACTCTATGCCCACAACCTTTTTGGACGCAGCCTTTGAGAAGGCCAACCAAATTACGGCCGGTTCGGGCAACCGCATGGCGTCGGCGGCTTGCGGCACTCGTTGCCTTTGGGCACCGGATCGCATATCATATCGCCATGGTTGTTCAGTTAGCCATCCTTTTCCCAAGCTTGGCCAAACACGGTGAACGTGAATAGCATCAAAGCATCAAAGGCAAACATCAGCTTGTTTCCAAACTCAAAGGGGTAGTGTTCAACAAGCGCAGCAACGACGTGAGCCGTTGCAATAGAAAAGGGTGCCTTGAGAAAGACACTTTGTTCAAAAATCAACATCAATACCTGCAAGGGTGGCTGGCACAAGATTGCACCCCCCCAAAAAGAAACTAGATAATAACAAATAACAAATAGAACAAACATCTAAAACATAGAAGTCGAAACAATAAGCCTGAAAACAGTTGAATCTGGGCCCTGGGTCTCCCGCGTGGCGTCCTCGTGTGGCGTCCTCTCAGATCTTCCTGAATCGGGATGGCAAGCCTCAGGCCACTGAGCTCGGGAAGCCCAGGCTGCTCATCACTCCTTGAGGATTTAGGAATATCAAGGAATATTTGGATCCAAAGACTTTTGGGTGTTTTTGTATATATATAGTTATATTGGATATAGTTATAGTTATATTATCCTATATACTTTATATATATATAGTTATATTGGATCCTTTTTTTGTCCAAGGACATGGAAAGACACAACCAAATCCTCACGAGCCCGGTTTTGTCACATCCTCCGAACATTGGTTCCTTGAGGTTCCTGATCTGAGGTTTACTGTATGTTGTTTTCTTCTAAGATCCTGTGTTCCTTCATGAGTCAGACGCCAGTGTTTGGGTGCTAGATAGTCAGTCGTTCCAACATCTACTAAGAAGAGGGGCTGTTGAACAGGGGCGCTTTTTTTGAGGCTCGCGTACCTGAATGGCGGCGGCGAGCAGCAGTACCAGCAGCAGGGCCAGTACCCGCAGCAGTCGCAGCAGTACCAGCAGCAGTCGCAGCACCAGCAGTACCCTCAGGAGTACCAGCAGCAGCAGTACCAGCAGTACTCACAGCAGCAGTACCAGCAGGGTCAGTACCAGCAGTACTCGCAGGAGTACCAGTCGCAAGACCACTATGGTATGCAGGGCCAGGGTCCAGGGCTCAGGGGCGAGATCGTGTGGATTCTTTCAAACCGGCGGTTTTTTCCTCCCGGCTCGAGGCCTGGTTGAAGGAATTCAACTCTTTCAACAGATGTGAAAAAGGATAAACAAACACAAACATACTAGATCATCCAGTATGTGGAAAGAACATGAAAACACACACATACAGCCATCCTGGGTGACCTTGGGTGACCTTCGTTGGAGAACTCCCAGATGCCACCCTCGGGCTGGATGCTGAGTGACCTGCCATGCTGAGTGACCGGCCTCGCTCAGGTGGCGACCAGGCGGCCGTTTTTTGGACACAGGGCTGGCCAAGATGCAGAGACTGGGGCACGATGCTGCATGACATGCTGCATGTCATGGTGCATGTCATGACATGATCCCAGCCTTTGACCGGAGGAACCTTTGGAGAGACTGGATCGATCGAACCTGAATTCGCGGCAGTCCCACCAGGTCCGACTTGACAGGGGGAGGACCGCCTCTGGGCGGGGCGGAGGACCTCCAGAGCTTGTTGAATGGTCGGTGACAGAATCGCTATTCCACCATCTTCGGCGTTTCAAGAATGGGAGGGGACCAGGTGTTTAGAACAAATATCATGGGACCCATGATTCGCTTGTAGTATGGAAGAACTCCTTCCAAATTCCAAACCTTGCAGAGACACCCTGCCCTCCACGGGAGATCTGGATGCCAACATGACCCTTTCAGCAAACACTCCAGGCCAGCATGGGCGAATGGCCGCCACAGCCGCCTCAGGATGCGGGTTCTGCGTAGGGTTAGAGCGTCATTCGGAGCGTGGGTGGCAGGTCGTTGGAAGTGCTGCTTAGAGTTCCCCAATGCTGGTCCTTGGGCGATGGAGTCTGATCCAAGTGATTTAAGGAAAAAGATGCGAAAAGGGGTTGTGATTGCCAGAGTTCAGTCAGGCAAGCCTGAGAAGATGATAACAAGATGATTATGGATTCGTCGTCAGGAGGAGGAGGGCACACATGAAGTGGAAGCTAGGGGGACTCAGATGGACTGGCGCAGAGGGTGGGGGCAGCTTTGATGCAGCATGTCAGCATGTCATGTCTTGCGGCATTTCTTAGGTTTGCAGGCGAAAGCCATGTAAAACCCCTTGCCTTCGGCTCAATCTCTCCGCCTTTGTTGTTAATTTTTGGAGGGAAAGGTCAAGGAGTCTCACAGCTGCTTTCGAAAGCTTGCTGGGAGGCATTTGCCCAGGACCTTCAAAGTGACCAAACTTGCAAACTTGAGATCTCAGGATGAGATCACCTAGTCTCTGAAGAGATCACTTAGAGACTCGAAAGAGGTCACGTTGAAGGTCCTAGCGGTTAGTGCATGCAACAATATGTAACATGTATTTATTTGCACACATTAGTCTGGTTAAGGATGAAGAATGATCCGTTCCATGCATGCTTTAGTTTGGAGTTCTTTTGCAAATGCCAAAGCTTCTGGGCAGTTTGCTTCAGGTGTTCATGTATGACAATGACTGGTGTAGGTGCCTCATCGCCTGAGTTCTCTCAAGTCCACGGCTAAAGAATATGATTCCTGTCACTGTCACTTACTTCAATGGAACCATCCGAGAAAGTTCTGCGCGCGAAAAACGGACCGGCCTCAGGTGCCAAAGGATTTAGTGTCTCAGTTGGAGGGAGGTTCCGAGCCCAGTGACTGGATGTCTTGTCTTTTTTGCATGGAGGGAGCTGCAGAAGTGGACTCGAGATGTTGTAGATTTTGTAGGGTCTAGTGGGGAGTAGAATGGAGTAAACAAACACAGCAACACTCGGAGATGTCCATCGTTGCAGCTTTCACTGTCCAGCTTTCGGGCTCCGCGCCCTGGTGTCGATCGAGTCTGGAGAAACTCCGTTTGGCGCTGGGTTCTTTCAGATATGGCGCCACTCCAGTGGCAGCTCCTATTTAGCCACCTGCTGCAAAGATCCAGTGTGGCAACATGTCCATATATGTCCATTGTCAACCCATCGTTCGAGTTTGATAAAGCTTTTCACTTTAAATCAAGAGCTGGATTAAACAATAATATTAATGATAAAGCTTGATAAGTGATCAAGAGTTTGATGCAACCCACCAAGAGATTGTCACTTATGTACTGTGCAACCTTCTGACCCATTCCAGTGGAGTCAGATCTCACTCTGTTTGTGTTCGATCTCAAAGCAGAAACCATGTTTCAAGATGTTTCAGGTGCCAGACGAGAAACTCAGTGGGATTTTTGCAGGGGTTGTGTCACAGGCTCTTGAAGGTCACAGCGATTTCACATGGAAGCAGTTGTGCCACCTTTTCAGGTTGTGCTGCAGCGGACTTTTGCACACGGCCGATCTTTGTTTCTTTTTTTAATGTTGGGAAAAGCAAAGGAGAGTGGCGTTTGTTGGCTACATGGTACTGCTTATGGAATTTCAGCTGACTGTAGTCGTCATCACAGTTGGCATGGTTGAGTCAGTTTCTTCCTGCAGAATAGTGAAAAATCGTTGAATCTCAGTCTGCTTTGAACTTTCAATTGCATTTCTCCAACAGCCCCTAAGTTGCCCAGACTGAATCTCTCAAATGCCTATGATGGTGTCAATGTCGAAGTGCTAAGAGTGCGGACTGGGCTCTTTTCGTACTGCGCCCAAGGAACCCGACACATCAGCGAGGGACCAGGCATTGACCTCCTTGATCATAGCGACTCAAACTGATGAAGTTGAATACTTTGAGACCACATCGTCTTTAGAGGATATATATATATGGTTATAGGGTCGATCCATCTGGGATGTTTATTTGTTTCAAATTTCTATAACAGATATACAAACAGTATTATGAGTAACTCAGACTTGCAAAGCCAAATGACGTGGCTGGTTGCCATGTGTTTGTTTTTCACTTGAGTTTCTTGAAGCTGCTAAGAGTGCCCATTGCCATCCATTGCCCCACTACTCGGACCCTAACGAATCCACCAAAGTTCTGTGAAGTTTCGCTGCTAGTTGCTGATCGTGCTTTGTTGTGTTTTCTGGCATAAGCGTTTCCCGGGATTTGTGGACCAAAAGAATGCGCCGGTCCATGACTTGTTGGCTTCTTGGGACTTACTATAGTTCCTTTTGGTTTGGCCTTTGGCCACAGATGCTTGAAGTTCCCCGTTTGGAGAGTTCATTTGGGAAGAAAAAAGACCTGAGGCCGACTTCATCAATTGAAGCAGATGGCAGGGGGCGACATACAAATTGCCTTCCAGGCCTTTCCAAATCGGGTTTCAGGTTCGGGCTGGGCCTTTTGATCGCGTCACTAGATCGACGAGTTGTGTGGATTTTTAGTTTGTATTTTGCGATGCTTTTCGCTTTTCCTAGCGTTCTCAGAAAGATGTTGAACATGTCGATCGTAGATGTTCAACCCAAACAACGCTAAGAAACCTGTAGATTCTGCTGTGTTGCTTTCTAGCTGCTAACTATAGTGCTAACTGGGCCGCTGAGAAGTCGCTGCGAAATCGATGACAAAACGGCTAGAAAGTCCTTGTAAAAGCATATTGAACAGCAAGCTGCAAGCTACATGTGTATGTCCACGGGGATCTATCAGACCTGTTGTAGTTTGGGTGTTTCATCATGACCTGAAAAGGAGTTCTTCTTCACTCAGGAGTTACATCTCGATCGCGCGGACCTTCACTCAGGTGGTCCAAGAAGTCGATCGAAAGGTCGAATTTCGATGTGGCAAAGATGGGTTTCTTGATTTAGTGCATGTGTGCTGTCATTTCGAAAGGTTGACATAAGGCCTATGCCACTGAGAGCCTCATTTCCTATCAACTACCATGTGTGTGCTGAAGGAAGCCGTCCACATGTTCACAGAAAGAGGGGCTGGCTCCGAAGTTGCAGGTGTCCACGAGTGCGGCGCGAGGAAACGGTTTGTTTGGTTCCTTTTGTTCTGACTTGAGTTGAGGTCCGGTGTTGGCTTTTCCAGCTGTGAAGGAGTGCCACACCTTCCTCCGCCTTCCCCTCCCACCCACGCACCACGACCGCCTTGCCAGACTCGACCAGATCACAGCAACCCTGTGGCCGTGGTCAAAGGTCCGAAGGCGCAACGGAACTCGGTGGCGCGCGGTGCCGGGTCTCGGGTCTCTTTCGCTCGGTGGCCCTCAGAATCGGTGCTCGGGCTGTTGCGTGTTCGGCCGGGGGTCGGAGCTTCTCCACCCACCGTTTTGCACGCAGGGGGGACGATTCAGGGCTCTCCAAAGCCCCCCTATGTGTGGCGGAACGGGCCCGGATTCTTCGGGTGGCCCCTGAGTGCGCTGAGGTGGTTTGGACACCCCGGTGCGAGATCGGCGTTTTGGACCACTGCGGTGCGGGATTGGACGAAGACTCGTCTCCATGCACAGACTCGGGACGAAGTTCGGAGACTGGGTTTCGGAGCCGAAAAAAGCACGAAACACATGTGAAAAGTATATCAGTTGAGTCCGGCCACCCCCCTGTAACTCTGCAAAAAGGTTTCTTTATTAAGACAACCAGCGAAAATTAGCACCAGGAAATCCTAGATAATTCATCGTTACCTGGGGCCTCTCCAAATGGATTTTGAATATGCTAACCCCTCCACTCCTCTCCTGCCCCTCCTGCCCTTTCTTCCCCTTCTTCCCCTCCACTCTCTTCTCCTTTCCTCTCCTCTCCTCTCCTCCTCTCCTCCTCTCCTCTCCTCTGTTCTCCTTCCCTCCTCTGCCCTCTCCACCACCACCAGCACCAGCACCACACCAGCACCAGCACCACAGCAGCCATCACCACCACCACCACCACCACCAGCACCCCCAGCACCAAACAGCAGCCCCAGCAGCGGCCACCACCACCAGCCCCAGCAGCCGCCACCAGCAGCAGCAGCAGCAGCAGCAGCAGCGCCACCAGCACCACCACCAGCACCACCAGCACCAGCGCCAACAACCCAGCACCCAGCCCCAGCCCCAGCCAGCCCCAGCCAGCCGCAGCACCAGACCAACACCAGCCCCAGCCGCCACAGGCTACATGTTCATTGCTGGATTTGACATATCTATATAAGTGAAATATTTTCATGTGACAATCTAGCACACCAATCACTAGAAGCAACGGTTCGAAAAGACCGGCCGCGGAACAGAAGTGGAGGTCACGATTCCAACCTCCTGTTGCTTGCAGGTTAGACAGAGGCCAAGACGAAACCAAATCTTCACAAAACCCTATAAACCCTAAGCCCTAAACCCTAACAGCTGCTTGGCCGACGAAATGGGCCACCAGATTTGACGACATTTAGCACCAGAAAAAGCACAATTGGAAGCACAAAAACAGGCACCAGATTTGACGAAATTTAGTACCAGAAAAAGCACAATTGGAAACACAAAAAAGAGCACCAGATTTGACGAAATTTAGCACCGGAAAAAGCACCAGGAAAGCGCCAGAAACTGCACAGGCGGCCACGACAAAGTCAAACGCTGCTGAGGCCAAGTGCTCCGAGCGATCTGCTTTTGGCTCGCAGGTTCATTCTGGACGCGCGAAATTTAGCACCAGATTTGACGAAATTTAGCACCAGAAAAAGCACAACTGGAAGCACAAAAAAGCACCAGATTTGACAAAATTTAGCACCAGATTTGACGAAATTTACCACCAGAAAAAGCACAACTGGATGCACAAAATTTAGCACCAGCTTTGACGAAATTTAGCACCAGATTTGACGAAATTTAGCACCAGAAAAAGCACAACTGGGAGCACAAAAAATAGCACCAGATTTGACGAAATCTAGCACAAGAAAAAACACAAGGGAAAGGCTAGAAACGCAAGCGTTGCCAGGACCCAGCCGCCAGAGCCGTGCCCCGGTTTGGCGCCCCGGTCCCCAGGGCCCAGCCCCACGAAAGCCGTTACAGGGAAGGCCGAGCCCCGGTTCCGCGCGCCGGCTCGCAGGGTCCAGCCCCATGAAAGCAGTTAAAGGAAAAGCGGCCCGCCCAATTCCAGAGGACCCAGCCTCACGAAAGCATTTGAAGGAAGAACCCAGCCCCAATTCTCACAGGGCCCCCACGAAAACATTTAAAAGGAAAAAATGAGCCCACAGGACCAGCCCCACGAAAGCATTTAAAGGCAAACCGGCGTCCCAATTCCCACAGGACCCGGCTCGCGAAAGCGCTCGCAGGAAAAGCAGCGCCCCCGTTTCCAATGGCCAGCCCCACAAAAGCATTTGAAAAGGAAAAGCTGTCGGCTTGCCCACAGGACCCAGCCCCACGAAAGCATTTAAAGGCAAAGCGGCGCCCCCGTCCCCACAGGACCCGGCCCCACGAAAGCATTTGCAGGGAATAGCGCCGCCCCGGATGCGCCCCAATTCCCACAGGACCCGGCGCCACGAAAGCATTTACAGGGAATAGCAGCACCCGGTTGCCCGGGCCGCCCCACGAAATCATTTTAAAAGAAAAACCGTCGTATTGCCCACACAACCCAGCCCCACGAAAGCATTTAAAGACAAAGCACATCCCAATTCCCACAGGACCGAAACAACTACTACTATAGACTAACACCACTTGACCTATTTAATGCTACTTGAGGTATATCTTTTTTCACAACCTACTGATGTGTTGCTTGATGGAAGGGTTTTGTGACTTCCCATGGCTTCACCGGGCAGGAGGGCCCATAGATGAGAGTGAAAAAAGGAGTTCCTGTGGTGAGCGTGCCATCCAATTGGATCTAAAGGTTTTTTAAAGCATTTTTCTGGTGCTAATTTTTGTGCATCCAGTTGTGGTCTCTGTTACAGCGCCGCGGCCATGCACAATATATCAGAGTTATATGAGGCTTCCTCCCGCCAGTTAGATGCATGGATTCTTTTGTCTTGAGACCGCTGTTTGGTGGATGGAGGCATCGACACAGATGGCCGCTTTCAGGTTTGTTTGACTGATCCGATACGAATTGTAAGATATGTAAGTTTGTTTTCCACATGCACCCGGCCGGACGCCTTGAGTTGTTTTCAGTCGACGGCCACCAACTCATTGGTGGCGTCCCGGAGGTTCCGCAAGATCGTCCGGATCTTTGGACCACGCGTCCGTCTTCCTTTCCAGGCACACGCCAGTTTGGCTGCCATCTTGGTGATGCAGGACCGACATGTGGAACGTTCATGCGGGTTCAGGATGGTTCAGGGGTCAATATTGAACACATATTGAAAACATGCACGGGGTTCAGGGGTCAATGTTGAAACATGTTGAACACGTAGACTATTCCCATAAAAGTCCATACATGGATCCAGTTTGGGTATCGCATGGGGTTCAGTTATGCATGTCGATGTACAGTGCAAATGGACGTTGTGTTCATGGCGGGAAACCGTTTCAACCAATTGAAACCGTCTTCCGCTGTTGTGTTCATCCTTCTGGACTGGTAACGGTGTAGTCGAGGAAAGAAGAGGACGTGACCAGACCCCGCCTGAGAGTTGAACATGCAAGACTGGCTCCTTGGAGCACGTTGGGATGGCAGTGCCAGCATGTTGCAAGGTCCAGAAAAGACCACTGTAATTCGTTCTCCCTTGCAGAGGCATTGAGCCGGTCCTTTTGTATAGTTGTTTCATGTTTTTTTCGTTCTGGCCCTGCACATGTCCCTCGGCCAGTTTCTTGAGTGCTAAATGTTGAGAACATGTGCCAGCACGGGGAGCCCCATCCAACCAATTAATTGGTTTATTTTTTCAGGACCTTCACCCCAAAACCAGCCAGGTAACCACCTGCAGGATACCACCCGACTATGATACCCGGTTTGTTCTGTCAACCATCGGTCAGGCCCACACCCGACCGGCACCTTCGTGCCCGACAACCCGTGCACGACCCGTGTGGTGGACGACCCGTGGAGACCTGCAGGAGCTGTGTGACCTCATCCAGATCCCCGTGTGAGCAGGCGTTTGTCGGGATGAGAGGAGAGGGAGACGAGACGAGATCGCGAAGAAACGCGAATGCGTCCTGTGGAGGCCCTGTCGCCCAAAGCGTCTCTTCCTGTTGCAACACTGGCAGTGCTTCTAGGGCTAGAATCAATATACCGTAAGAAAACTGGTGAAATCGGGTGCCAGATGCTTCACATGTCTGTTCTTTTTTCTTCGAAGGCGAAACCATTTCGATGGATGATCATGGCCGCCATGGCCTTCACCAAGACGAGTGGTTTCTTTCTTTTTCTTCACAAGAACCGACCGCTATATACGGGGACCGCTATATGCGGGGACCGCTACGTACGGCGTGCGCGGAGTCTGGTCGCGGCGATCGATCACGCGGACAAACACTCTATAGCGACTGCCCTTTTTGTTGCCCTGTGATGTGCGTAATTAAGAGGCCTTGTTGTGTGGAATGCTAAGTAGTCTCGGTCAAGATGCGGGGATGTTTGATCTGCTTTGATGACAGATTTGTGAATTTCTAGATCGGATTCCAAGGGGGACAGGTTTGAGGTCGTTTTTGCATGTTTTTGCCTCGTGCAACCTTGCAAAGAATCATTCTAAGCCTTGAGGCGCATCCAGATACTGGGCTTGCAGGCCGCTTTGTGGGGACCATCTCATCCAGATGACTAGAACATACATAATATGTGATCGCCACTCCAAGAAAGACCTGCAAAGTCGTGAGCAAAACCTGGAATTTATGAAGGCAACATCATACCAGTGGGTATGTATAATATATGTTTTAAAAAATAACACAATGTTTTTTGTTCCTTGTGTTGACCTCAAGTGAAGAAGTTGGAACAGTACAGACCTTGCTATGAATACAATTTGATGGTAGTAGATCTGTTTGAAACATCTCTCGCATGGTTCATGTTTGCTTGGAAGAGCCTTGCTCAAACACAAACAAACAGTCTATAATGATCCATAATGAAACTTAATAGCAGATCCTTGTCTCATCTTTGTCGGGAAGGGGTGTCCCACCTTTGATTTCGAGTTTGCTTTGTGTTGACATGTTTGACTATCAATGAGTTTACATGAGTTTACCATTCATCCATCCTTTGCTTCAGACTCCATGCCTCACCACCACTCCGCGGACCGGCACACAGGTTCACTTGGGACGCACGGCTGAGGGCCAACTGCCGACCCAAATCGAACCAAAAGTCGGGTTGGTGGCACCGGTCGAAAGAGACCCAGCTTCCATGGGTTGACAGATGTGTCATTCAGATTCAATGTGATCATGACATAAGTGACCATTGCACAAACGCATGTTCAATCATTTTCACTCTGCTAAGCGCACGAACCAATGGCAGTGCCACGAGAGCAACACGTTCACTTCACATGCCACGTGAGCTCGGCTTCAGTCAGCGATCCACGCGAGCTTCGGTCAGCGGTGTTCGCCGGATTCGCCCGGCGCGACCGCAGAGTTGGACGTGGAACGGCAGAAAGAGCTCTGTGCTGATGACTATCTCCAGTCTCCAGTCGTCGCAGGCCGCCAGGCCTTTCAAAAGACATATAAATACGGGAAGACGGGATATGCTGATTCTGATTCTCCACCTTTTACCTTGGGATGATTGAACCCACTGACTCATATTTTGCGTTCATGAGTTGAAACTACCAAAGATATCTAAAGATAATTCTATACCAGCACCCTCCAACAGGTCACCACCTGACACGTTTAAGTATCCAAAAGCTACCAGAGGAGACCTGTTGGAGGGTGCTGGTATAGAAGAAATTATGTAATGGTTATTAAGAGTTGATCAACATAGATTCGATTTGGGAGCCAGCGCCAAAACTTATTCCGAACACTTCCTGCTTTTGTTCTTGTTTCGATCTTTAGATCGCACAATGCAAGTCATGTTTGTTTGTGGCGTCTCGGTGGGGGCGTCTCTGGGGGTGTCTCGTCCCGCCCAAGCGCCCGCTGGTCGTGGACTCATGGCTCAAGTGTTCGAGCCACACATGGAACACGGCCAGGCCCGGCAACGGCCAGGGGCCAGGGCCCAAGTCATTCGTGAACACAGAGGACCAATGATATATTGCAGCTGTAGACGTGAAGTCCGTCCGGTGTCCACCATGTTTCAGAGGTGAAAAGGCTATTTTGGGGGGTCCAGCCAATCCTTTGGAGTCGTTCTATTTTTGGGGCTGGATTCGACCATGCCAGTGCAGCACGGACCGGTGACCTGTGGTTGGTTGTTGGCGAACGTGTCACCTGTCGGTGATCGCTTGGTTGGATGCTCATTTTGCTTTGGCGGGTGAAAGTCAGCCCGAGATCATCGGTAGACATGCCCACCATGCAGGCCCTTTTTGCCATGCCCCACGTGAAAGCCCTTCTCGCCCCAGGCGTCATGGAGGGGCAGCGCGCCAGTTATGGGGCGCAGATCCTCGGCTGAAGAGATCATGTCGAGTTAGACAGTTGCAGGATGTTGCTGGCAGACTGGCAAAGCAACTATAAATCCTTTGGTGGAAGGAAAGGCAAAGATTAAAGCATGATGAAGCTCTATGTTGGTTGGCCCTTCAGGCATACCTGAGATCTTAGCAAAATCAGAACCTCCAGGGAGACCTGACAAGAAAACTGCATATATAAAACTGCGGCAGCCAGGGTGTTCTTAGGTGGTGAGTGCAGCCAGCAGGGATTTTATCCTCAATGAGGTTAATATAGGACTAACCATCGGGTCGTTGCACTGTCCTGAATTCATGGCAGACTAGTCTAGAATCTTACTGACACGGTCAGGTGCGGCAGGTGGGAGCATTCTAGAGATAAGCTGGACGTTTTCACAGCGGGTAGCCCATGGGCTTGTTGGCACCGGACAAGACAAAGTCAAGAGTGAGGACTAAGAAGTGCAATATGATTCTTCCAGCTAAACAAAACAACCTTTGTCAACATGTCATACCAAGTTACGTATGACAATGATGGGTGCTTCCTAGGCCCGATTCTTGACATGAGCCCATGTGATGGACCAGGTGATGGACATCATCCGAAGTTGGGATCCTGACATAACCTGAGCTGTGTCCTAAATCGATCTCCCATTCCATCCACGTAATGTAGACTGATTCATTAAACCTCCCTACCTTGAAGAGGTTTTGCAGTCCAAATGCTCATTTTGAGGGTGGGTCTTATTCATCGACCTAGTTTTCCTTCAGGTGATGTTGATATTTTCCCTATATACATATACAATCATATACACTATATGGGCCCTGTACATCCCCCCTTCTGGTATATATTCTTTCCCAGGTTAAAGCAAATCCAAGTCGAAACATTTAGCCTTGAACATATCTATCAAAAAAAAACAAAAACCAAACCTTCACAAGTTCTGGTGATCCATTTTTGCCATGTTCCCATCACCAGAACCCTCACCCTGGACCCTTCACGCCTTCATTGAACCAGCGTTGGCTCCGCGACGCGAGGCACGTCCCGGGTCTCACGGACCGGGGGCTTTCCGAGGGCGCTGTTGGGCGGGAGGGAGACGAAGGCTTCGGGGATCTGAGACTGGGGACCTATTTGGATTTGATTGAGTTTTGTATAATATAGTTAGTCTTTGTTGGTATTTATTTTTCTTTGTTGCTTTTTCTTTGTTTTCTTGTTGTTCTTTGTTTTCTGTGTTTTCGGAAGTGAAGGGAGTTTCAAGCTGGTGGATTTTGCTGTTCCTTGTGCATGGACTGGGGACACCCAAATGACACATTGGATTGATAGACCGTGCTTGCGATTCGATTCTTTTTGGTGGCTGTTTCACTCTATATTCTGGGCCGAGTCAGCTCACTTTTTGAGGTACAGATGCCTTAAACCTACGCAGAAGACTCCGACGTACGTCAAATCCGCAATTCCCGATGCCTGACAGCATGGACAGCCCATGACAGCCCTAGGCCGGTCAAGATTGATTGATTGATTCTTGATTCTCAATCGATTCTCAGTGCCTGTGGTGGATCCCTTTCTCTTGGTCAATCCCGGACGTGAAGGAATCAGGTGTTACCCGCTTGCACACCCGACCTTCCTTGCAGTCAGACGCTCGCTCGAAAGCACCCAACGCTCGGAGGACCAACGCTTCGAGGGGCAAATTGTGAGGTATTTGCCCGACAAGGGCTACGGCTTCATCAGGCCGTCGATCGGTCGATCGGTCGTCCTCGGACGAAGGAATCCAGGAAAACCATGGAGTTCTGGGACCCCCCGGCGTGCCAGTAGTTTGTTTTGATGCGAGTGTTGAGAGCGGTTTAGTTGTAAAACATGCATTTTGATTGCATTTAAAATGTCAAACATATTCAATTCAATAAGAAGAAGGCACGCTTTGTTTAAGTTCATCATACCGTTTGGGTGAAAGGAGAGTCAGGTACGGTATTTCCATATTTCCTGGTCATTTGGAGAGAGAGAGAGAGAGAGCTCATTTGCGTGAGGATATACCTGGAACTTTCCAAAGATCCAGCAAAACAGGCCAAGCTGCCAGAATCATCCAGAATTGCCGTGGAACCTGTTTTCTGTCAGAACTGGGCCCCTGGAAAGCCTACATTGAGTCTTGGGATTTGATTGGGAAAGTTGCAAAGACGGCGGTTTTTCTGGATGGATTCTCTTAGTGTGGAGGGCAGTGCAGCACAGGGCACTGCACCTCAAACCTCAAACACCTACAGTAATGTAGACTTTTGATCGACCCTCTCTCATTGGGATAGATAGAACCCACTTCAAATGAAGGGGTACAAATCAAGAGTCTACGTCTACGTCATAGACGAAACCATATTGAAACCATATACATATGATATGTATATATTATATATGTATGCCCACTTAATACAGGCCCCACTGTAAATGCCAACTCCTTCGCCATTCGACCTGTGGACGCTGACTGAAGCGACCTGTGGACGCGAGACCAGGTGTCAAGAGTTGCGACAAAGTCGCTATCCCGACCGGGCGCGGGTGGCCTAGCCCGACCGAGACGAGGAGAGACCGGCCAGCCGACGGGTGAGCCTGGGTGACCGTCCAGGACCCCTTTTGCAAGCTACACCGGTGAAGGAGTCCAGGAAACAGAATACAAACACCTTCGCCTTTATCTAACACAGGGCTATTTGATGTTATTTGGTGTTCGCTGTTTTATTGGAACCTGGCTGCACTTGAGGAACTTGTCACTGCTGTTGTGTTTCTGCAAACTTGCAAGAACCATTTCATGAGTTTCCGACCCTTGTGGCTTGTGGAGGGTTTATCCTGCCCCTCGTGCCTACCTGGCATGGACTAGGTTAGATTCCAAGGAAGAGGTTGATCCACTTCACAATAAGGTGAACAGCGCCTTGCCTTGTGAAGTGGGTAGATTTCGACCACCACATTTGTGAGATTCTTTGGGTGTTTTCAACAGTGTCACATGTTTGTTCACCTCTCTTTGTTTGCATCTATTTACAGGATGACCATGCCAACCACAGAACACACCGGATCACGATGTTGTTGGACCATGCTGGAGAGAAGGACCAGACTCAAACATCATCCACGCAGTGTCCCTCCATTCAGATTGTGGCATTTGTTCCATCCTCAGAAGGCATACGTTCATGTTCTCACAAGGTCTCTCCAGTGTGTGTGCGTGTGTGTGTGTGTGTGTGTGTGTGTGTTTTGGACACCCCCAACCAAAATATCATACACAATCATGATCATGATTGGTTACAATGATACAACTATGATGATTTAGTAAAACACACATATAGAATCATATATATACATATCGATGTGATGTTCTGCTGTGTTTTTTGAATGTTTTCGGTGCACCGAGCCATCAGGATATATTTCTGCATCAGAAGCAGCTGGGGAACTTGAAAGAGGGCGACGCCGTGAGCTTCGGGGCCCGGTGCCCCACACCGGGGCCCGACCGACACACGTTCACCACCGGAGAATGGCGTCCAAGGGGCCATGGATATCGGTGGAAAGTTGGAAGGATGGATGCCGAGTGTCTTGGGGTGTTTAGATTCATAGCTTTAGCTCCTTGAGTCTAAGTCAGAACCCCCCCCAACGTGGGTCTTGGTGATGAGATTTGCTGACGTTTTGATGATAATCATGGGAATCAAAGTTGAGGGGTATTGATGATGTGGTGATGGCTGATGGCTCCGTTTAGGTTGAACCTCCTGATTCAGGAAATCGAAATACCCCGCCAGAATCCTCCGGGGGAACTGGAGGGTTCTGATGACGAAGGAACTGGTGACGAAGGCGAAGGCTTTATTGCTCAATCTGACATTCCAAATCCCATTGGTTTGGAAGTCGGTTTACTTCAACAGCCTGGAACTGTTGCTTACTGCTCAATCGCAAGCTTGATCGCAACCAACACCAAGTGAAGTCTCCAGTCTAGACCATGCTCGGTATATAACATATACACAAAGCATATGACTAATTCATTGATCACAAACCTCAACTTCGGATTCACCGAGCGAAGACGCAAGTCACCTGTCCTCCGCCGGTTTTGGTCGAACACCGGGACCAGATCCTGCTGAATCGCGACGGCAAGCCCACGGCCACCGAGCCGGAGCCCAAAGACTGCACAGCTGGGTCATCTTTTGGTTTTGTTGGCTCCTTTACTACTAGTAACAAGTGGCTTACTACTAGTAACAAGAAGCTAGTAGAAACAAATAGAAACAATAACTATAATTAAGTTTAAATTACAATTAACAGCCGGGTCGTCTGAGGGGGTTCGGGGGGTTCTTGATATATAGGAGATAGTTGGATTATGTTGGATTGATAATGGGAGATATTATATTGGGAGATATTATATTGGGTCTCGAAGTCTTGGATTCTGAGCCATGGCCCATGCGGGCCCCCAAGCGGGCGTGACCCGGCAGCCGGGGACACCGGTCGGGTCGGAACGCCCGCGGCGCTCTGCCGCGTCTGCGTCCGCCTCGACCGGCCCTGCTGCCGCCGCTGCTGCTGCAGTGGATGTGCCGATGCCTGATGCTGAGGTGGACGATGACATGGGGCAGGTGGAGCATTGCCCGGTGTCGTCCTGCCACGCCAGCCGGGCTGACCTTCATGCAGGTTGGCAAAGCCTTGGCTCCCTTCGAGTGCATGTGGATGCCCATCTTCTGGGGGCCCTGCCGGGCATGCCACCCCAGGAGTGGCTGCAGCGTCACAACCTGGCCATCTGTCCGAAGCTGTGCAGGCCCCGCTGCTGCGCCTTTGGTGCTTGGAGGCAGCCCGGACGTGCCTCGCCTTCTCGGCGAGCTTCCGGACTGGGATGAAATCTGCCTTGCGCCGGTGGACACGCGGGACACCTTGGGGGCTGGGATCTTGCCGAAGGCCAGCAAAGCCTTCCTTCAATGTGTCGCTGGAGTCCTTCTGCACCACCGCCCTGATGCTTGGTCCGTGGTGCGTTCTGGGACCGACACGCTGGCGCATCAACGGGCCCGCCTGGCTTGGACTGAGCTCTGGATGTTCCCCAAGGCCTGTCTGGCGGTTCTTCCCGGCGGCGCCGCCAAGCAAAAGAGGAATGGGAATATTTTGGCCAATCGCCTGGAGCGATGGCTCGCGGGGGAACGCCGCACCCTTTGGGATGAGGCGACTCGGGGGGGCCGGCCTGGACGTCGCCCTCGCCGTGGTGATGCCGAGGATGCCGATGCCGCCGCGCAGCGTCTCCGGCAGGCTGCTGACAGCTTTGCCCGTCGGGGGCTCCCTGGGCAAGCGGTGCAACGCCTTTGCAGTGAAGGCCTTGCTCCAGACACCGCCCACACTGAGGGCATTATGCGCTCCAAGTTCCCTGCTGCGCCCGCCCAGCAGCACGCTTCTCGCCGACTGCCGGCGGCTGATGCCAATGAGCTCGGTGAAGAACAGGTGCTCGCTGCGCTTCGCAGCTTTAAGAAAGGGGTGGCTGCCGGACCCAGCGGGCTGCGCCCTGACTTTCTGCGGCAGCTCGCTTGTGATGGGCCGGATGCTCGTGCCTTCACGACTGTGCTGACTGGTCTAGTGAATTTGTTGGCTGGTGGGGGCGCGCCTGTGGAGCTCCAACCTTACCTTGCCGGTGCCAAAGGCACTGCCTTGAAGAAGACGACTAAGTCTGGCGAGCCGGACGCTCGCCCCATTTGTTCGGGGGAGGCTCTACGCCGCTTGGTCGGGAAGGCGCTGCTGCGCACTGAGATGGACACTTTGCGGGAACACTTGCTGCCTTGCCAGCTTGCCGTTGGTGTGCCAGCTGGGGCTGAGGTCATGCCCCACCTGGCGAGGCAGTGGTGGCGGCACTATGGGCAGGACACCTCCCGTATTCTCCTCACCTACGATGAAGGCAATGCTCACAATGTGGTTGACAGACACACGTTCCTTACTCGGATGCGTGAGGTCTGCCCTGGCTTGAGCCGGTGGCTCGAATACATATACCCCACAGCTCATCCCACCAAGGTCTTCTACAATGGGCGCATCCTGGATTCTGCTGCTGGCGGGCAGCAGGGCTGCCCGCTGATGATGGCTTGCCATGGTGTGGTGCAGCGGTTGCTGCTCGAAAGTATCGGGGTCCTGCCAGTGCTTCCAGGATCGGCGGTTTCGGTGCCCCTCCTGGATCCACCCGCGCGCCTCGACATGGCGCCCTGCTATGCGGATGATGGCATACTTGCTGGGCCCGCTGGGGAAGTTCTTCGCGCCCTGCGGCACATGCAGCAGGTGATGCCCTCTTTGGGCCTCACCTTCTCGTCTCTGGAAGTTGCGGCCCCCGCCGGGGCCAACCACACGGTTGACTGGGCCCCCTTCGTGGCTGCCGGATGTTCCGTCAGCCCTTCCGGTGGGGCCGACATCCTCAAATGTCCAGTTGGGCCTGCGGCCTTTTGTGAAGGGTTCGCTTTGACGCGGGCCACCAAGCACAGCAAGGCTGTGCTGGAGGTTGCCAATTTGCCCGACCCGCAGGTCGCTTCGTACCTGTTGCATTGGTCCTGCAACTCTTCCAGGATGATTCACATGGCTCGCACCACCCCCCTGCAGCTTTGCCGGGGAGGCGTGGCCCACTTCGATGATGCTGTGGTTCGCTCCTTCGGCCGCATTTCTGGCCTGGTTCTCTCTGACCAACAGCGCGCCCAAGCCGCACTACCTCTTCGTCATGGTGGTTGTGGACTTCGCTCTGCTGAATCTGTGGCTGATGCGGCCTACATTGGTTCCCGGGCCCAGACCCACCAGCTGTGCCTTGACAATTGGCCACTTTTCCATTGGGATGTAGCCCATCCGGGCAGCCCCCTGGATACTGCAAGTTGCCGGTTGAATGCACACCTGCAGCGTGGTGGGATTGCCACCTTGGTCAATGTTGGGGAGCCTGACCGTGCCCTGACCCAGCGGAAGCTCAGCCGTTTGTGTGAAGCTGCAACCTTGGCCCTCTGGAAACAAGCCGCTCCCCCTGATGACGTTTGTCGACTTCATTCCCACTCTGCCCCTTTGGCGGGCCACCTCTTTGAGACAGTTCCTTCTCGAGCACTTGACTTACACCTCTCACCAGCCGAGTTCACCACGTGTGTGGCCTCCCGCTTGGGTGTCGATGCTTGCGATGGTACTCTGCCTTGTGGGATGTGTGGTCTTCCTATGGATCGCTTGGGCCGCCATGCGCTCTCCTGCATGGCTGGTGGTGATGCCATCTTGGTACACAACACTGTGAGACATGTTGTACAGGACTATTGTGAACGAGCTGGTATGCGGCCTACAGCTGAGGCCCCTGGGGTCCTTCAGGATCTTGCCATCCCTGAAGGCCGTCGCCGGCCTGCTGACCTCCTGGTGTGCCATGGGGCCGGCCTTGCCGACCGGCTGCCTGATGGAAGCCAACCACACCATTTGCCGCAGACAGCCTTGGACATTGCCGTGATCAACGCCACTGGGCCGTCCCACTGGCCAAAGACCTTTGAATCGCCTGGGGCTGCTTCGAGTGCCTACGCCACCAGCAAACGTGCTCACCAACAGACGGCAGCCAAGTGTGCCGCGGCAGGCGTCTTCTACCAGCCCCTAGTTTTTGAAGCCCAGGGAGGGCTCTGCAGTGAAACTGGCAGTGTGTTGCATGCTCTTGCTCGTCGGGTTGGCGCCGCTGAGGAGTGCGACTCCGAGCTGGTGTTCGCCGACATGGTTCGCAAGATTGCCATTGTTCTCTGCCGCGCTGCGGCCCGCTCCCTGCAGCGCCGGCGGCGGACCTGGTTCCGGTCTCCTGGCACACCGGCCTCGGCTGCTGCCGTGGCCGCTGTGGCGAGCTGATCGCCCTTCACTGGTGTGACGAATTGTTTTGGCTGGGTTGTTGCACTCCTGCCCTGGTGCCCTGGTCCTGGTCGCGTTGTGGTGCATGGTTTGCGCTCTTGGTGGGTGGCCTCTGAAGGGTGTCACCGAGCAGACGGAGTTGCTCATCCTGCTGGAACAGCTGCTGCCGTCCTCTGAGGGTGTTCCGCCTTTTGAACTTTGAGATTTAGCTAGGCAGGATTTCACCGGTGACCAAGCATATCGAATCATCCAAGCATTTGCAGCTTGAGTCACAGACGACAGATCATGACAGTTTGTCTAGTTTTCTATCCTATGCTGCAGCCTTTGCTGCAGGAGTTCCTTTTAGCTTGTCATGTTGCGCTCCCTACTGTCACAGCAACGGTTTGTGGAGCGCATGCAAGTTGGTACTTGGTTGGTGTCGCACCCACCAACATTTCCAGAGCTGAATGTACAGCCCCACATCCCACGGTTTCACCATACTATACTCGCCTGGAGATGTCCGTGGTAAGTTTGGGGTGCGTTTGTGCAGTTCCTAGACACTCGATCTATGGAATATTTACAATCCTATCATATATATATATAATCCGTTGTAATCCTATATAACTACATTGAGGTGGTTTTCAGTGTCAATGTAGGGCCTACATTGTAGGCAACATTCCATATGATATTAACTAATCTGAGTGTTTGGGGTTGGATGCCATGGATCCAATCTCCTTCTAGAACGACTCCACCACATTCGACCCAACGAAGACACGACCAGAACTTACTGGCCGCTGGAGCAGGGCGGCGAGTAAGTTGGAGCAGGGCGGCTCCACCGATGTTCCGAGCAGAGCGCAGCAGCCCAGCTGCTGCTGCCTTCGGCATTTCTTCGACCTTTCGGTGTGCTATTTTGCATCAATTCAGCCTGAGCCTGATCCGTTGAGCGTGTTACGGCGTAGTCCGTGTTACGGTAAACAGGTCACATCCAAAATGATCGGCCACAACTATTTCAGGCTGTGTGCTTGCCGTGTCTTCCATTGTCCCCTATAACCATAAAACACGACCCAAACTTGCTGTGCGTAGGTCGGTCAATTGTTTACTCCTCATCGGTGCAGACACACGTGGTCGGTTCATTGTTGGCGTTCCCAAACGGGGCGAGATGGAGCGCGGTAGACTGCTGACACGGGTCCCAACGGGTCATGAAGACCAGGTCGGTACCAACGGGCGACTCAAGGAGCGACCCAAGGAGTGGTGAGAAACAGATGGTTCAAAGAGCGTCCTAGGTTGGTGGACTGGGTGAAGGCTGAAGGTGTTGACCCACAGCCAGATCGATGATATCATTGGGTTCCATTGTGCAGAAAACATCGGGCTTGAAGTGCAAGGGATAATCAATGCGTACACCATCTTGGGCGCCCTCCGCGTCTGGCACTCCATCCAAGTGTTTCACATGTTCAGATAGCTGACTCTGAAATGCACGACTGCTGCCTGCTGCATGTGAAAGTATCTTGAAGCACACCTTCACACCACCTAACCTGCCAAACTCCATAGCGGCTGGGGTCAGACAGCTGCCATGTCAACTGCATTAGGGCCATGGTTGGGGCATATGATCGGGATGGCGTGTCTTCTTGCACCATGTCAGCTTTTGCTTTCTGATCTTCTATAGTTTCAACCCCCAGTGCATCAAGAGCCAATGAATCAAGAGCACTGAAGTTTCCCAAGTCTTCCATGGACGTGATGGGGACTAGCGGTACTCTTCCACTGCATTTGTGTAATGTGGCTGTCGCGTACTCAAAAGTCACTAACCCATCGACCCCGCACTGTACCGGAGCAAGACACATGCCTGAAGTACACCGACATCATTTTATTTCCCAACCCGCCAACTGGGCCACACCTCGCCCAAGCAGTTGAGAAACCGTGACTTGCGAGCACGTATGGTGTGGACACGATTTTTGTCCACTTCCGTGCGACAAGTTGCCGGGCGGGCGGGAGCAAGGAATTTAGCCAAGCACTGAGCAAAACGGCTTAGCGAAGCATCAAGCCCTACCACACCGTCAAAGGCTAGACAAACGGTTCGGCAACAGAGCCACCGAAATGAATCAATATGCGTGGCCAGGTGAGCAAGCAATCTTTCCATGCGAGGAACCGATGTTGTTGCATTTGTCGGCCAAATGCTTAATCAGCATTACCGAACATATTTGCAGAGTCAACAAAGTATATGTCCGAGAACAATGTTTGTCACAAAAGCTAGAATGCTAGCTGAGCTCTTCTTTGCTTTCGCAATGTATTGGGATGGGCTGCGTGCCTTAAGGATTGATATATCAAGCTAACCCCCCGCGGTTCGACTCCCAGCTGCGCCTCTTGAGGGGATCGATGCATATTCTTTCTACCAGCTACCTTTTGAACCTTTTAAAGATATTATTGCTAGCACAGCTCCGTCTGCCCTCTGCAGCGCCAGCAAAATTGTGTGAATGTTTAAATAATTCTATATCATTCCTCCATGCGTTTCCTGCTTTGTGGTGGCTGCTGCTGCTGCTGCTGATGGTTGCGGTTGTTGCTGCTTTGCTGCTATGGTTGTGGTTGTTGCTGCTTTGCTGCTATGGTTGTGGTTGTTGCTGATTTGTTGCTAATGTTTGCGATTGTTGCATGCTGCTGCTGCTGCTGCTGCTGCCGCTGCCGCTGCCGCTGCCGCTGCCGCTGCCGCTGCTGCTGCTGCTGCTGCCGCGGCTGCTGCTGCTGCTGCCGCAGCTGCTGCTGCTGCCGCGGCTGCTGCTGCTGCTGCGGCTGCCGCGGCTGCTGCTGCTACTCCTCCTCCTCCTGGTGCCTGCTGCCCCTGCTGCCAGCTGCCTGCTTCCTTGCCTGCTTGCCTGCCTGCCAGCCTGCCTCCCTGCTTGAGTGCTTGCTGCTGGAGTGCTTGCCTGCTTGCCTGCTTGCCTGCTTCCTTCCTTGCCTGCTGGCCTGCCTGCCTGCCTGCTGCCTGCTGCTTGCTGCTGCCTTTGCTGCTGCCTTTGCTGCCTGCTGCTGTCTCTCCTCTATCCCTGCTGGCTGCTGCCCCTGCTGCTGCTTGGTTCTGCTTGTTGGACCTCAACGACCGCAGCGCGGTAGAGAAACCGCCAGTGTGTTTCCGCTAGCCGCTAGCTTTCGACCTCCTCCCTTGGCCTCAAGTTTCAACATTGGTGGTGCAGATTTTGAACATGTTTCGGTTGTGTGACACATCCAAATGTAGGCAAGAACTGGCTAGCATATATTTCTATAGCAAGGGCAGAGAGATTCTTGCGACATTGAATCAATGCACTCACGTCTCATGCGTGAGGCTTGCCTACTTGAACGGTGGCGGCCAGCAACAACAACAGCAGCCGCAGCAGTACCAGCAGCAGTACGACCAGCAGTACCAGCAGCAGTACTCGCAACAGTACCAACAGCAGCCGCAGCAGCAGCAACAGTACGAGCAGCAGTACCAACAACAGTACCAGCAGTACCCACCGCAGTACCAGCAGCAGTCGCAAGACCACTATGGCATGCAGGGCATGCAAGCTTTTGGTCGCGGACTCGGGTGTTCAGCACACATTCTGACACCTTCAATTTGGGACAATGTCATTGCCTTCCTAAGGTGGCCAGGAACAGGCCGCGCAAACAGAGCTGTGTTGGCAGGGCGCAAACAGGATGCAAATACAATGGGCAGGAATTTTACTTCCTATAGTAAATAGTTGTTCAGGTTTTGGGACATGATTCAAAGTGTTTGTTTTTGTCAGCCTTTGAAAAGAAAAAACACGGACAGATTGTCCTTGGCCGCAAAATGACCGCAAATGCAATCGAAAAGACATGAATACAATATTTTTGTCAGATTCAACGAAGGCACCCTTATGTATAAGTGAGGTCACCAGGTTTCAATCCACTTGTGTGTTGTCATGAGACCTGAAATTACCCACTGTATATACATGACGGTAGTATATAATTGATATTTATGTGGAAGTTTTGGTCTGACATAATTGAATGTTTGGAACCGCTCAAGTCACTCAAGCTTGTTGACTATGTGGACTTTGGGCATAGATCTTTTGTCAGAGAAGTGTGCCAAGAGAGTTTGCAAGGGTTTGCACATAAGGATCCGATTGCATCACCCCCTGGTATTCTGCTATTGCACCGTATTCCATCCATTAGAATAACCTGCCAGGTCCTGAGCCACTGAACAGATTTCCTCAAAAAACACAAAGAGGGATTTGCTGTATCGACTTCATGGGGGGCTATGAGAGACTGACGGATCAATGAATTTCCTCGGTATGGGCAGCGTCGGCACATTGATGCCATAGAGATCGAGTACACGAAGAAACACATCCAATTGCCACTGTTTCTGGAATTTGTTACAAGCAACCATTCCTTCATGTGTTTATCCAAAGCATGGAAACATTGCAATCTTACCTGGCCTTCCTCGAGTTTCTGCTTTTTGGGAGCCTTCTCAGCAATCGGTCGAACTCTCGGCAGCAATCGGTCGAACATATCTTGATTGGAGCAGATGGAGCGGTATACGGTTCATCCTGCCATGTCTGGTGTACTCAAACACTCACGTGCCGGTCTCCCGGGATGTCGGGTGTACGTCCCTCCCCACCGCGCGCCCGCCTGGCCGCCTGGCCGCCGGACACGCCACCTGGCCTCGTGTCCAGGCGGCCGCCTGGGAGCCGCAGGACGGAGCACTTTTTTCCGATGAAATGCTATGATCCATTCACCTAAACACTCCAACAGTGTGGAATATAGTATGAATATATACTTATATTGATATATTATCCATATTTGTATGTATTTCCTTTCTGTTTGGGTGGTCTGAGGAATCAGTGTATATATATATATATATGCACCTAAGTCAATAAATAGATATATGTAAAAGTCTCGAAGTCCCTCGGAGCCGTTTTTTTTCTAGGGTCATGTCTGGCCTTACGACTTGGAGGGTCCAGGTATACCATACATGGAGTGTGATCCTGATCCCGAGGATTTCTCGCCAGCATCCCCTGAGAATTGCACCAACAAGTCTTTTGAAGTCTACCAGTTGTGCAGTAAATTTGGGGATCTGTCTAGACAGGGCACCCAGATAGGATCAGCCTGGTACCTTTCATGTTGTTTGTGATTTTCTCTATGAATCCTATATATTTTACGAGGTGCGGTGATGGCTTTTGCGCAGTGGCGTGAACAAGACTTCTTTGGTGAGAGGCCTTGGAGGCTGACTCCGGGAAACAGTACATAGTATAGATATATGTTCAATGATTGTCATCGCTACTATTAACAAAGGCATTGCTACTAGTAACAAGGGCATTACTAGTCAGAATTATCACACAATTCACAGCTGGTTCAACCACACTGCACTTGGACATGTCATGGGCAAGATGTCAACTTGAGAAGACAACAGATCTTTTGGAAGACAGATCTGATGCTCACGACCAGATCAGAATTGTTCTTCTTTGCCCGGTTCATATAATTACATGTTCCTCCCTCCAATGAGTATCCAAATAGACTATATTTATGATGTACGCTAAAGCTAGTTCTGATGACACAGCAAAACATAAAAACATGCATAAACAATAGTCACTATATACCCTATAGACTCTAGACTAGTCTGTTTCTTCTCCCCGTGTCCGTGCTGCGTGCGTGCCCTGAGGAGGAAGAAGGCACTCACGAAGTGGAAGCCGGGTGGTCCGAGAGACACCACATGGATGACACGACCCGCTCGTCGACCGGGAGTTGGGTCGTGACCGGGGCTGAGGTCGGTCGTGACCACGGTGCACCGCGGTCGCAAATTTTTGAGGACCAGGTCGTCTCCTGGGTGGTTTGGACCCCACAGCCAGATCCTGGTGGATGCCAGTGCACCACGGACAGTTTAGGTGGCCCTAGGTGGCCCTATTTTTTCGGTTCACAGGCAGTTTAGGTGTAGTTAAGTGAGGAGCCGCTGAACCCCCACGCTTGGTCTTGTCGCGGATCAAAAAGCTAAGCCCTTTGTCGCGTAGGCATGCGGCCGACTTTTGTGACACGTAGGGACTTGACCACATGGTGGCCGAAGTTCAAGTGGTGCAGCATCGGCCACTCGATCTACTCGACGACCGTCCACTCGACCGCGTTTTCACGGGATCGACACCAGGTGCCCAAGGATGTGGTGTCCCAGCTGGAGGGAGGTGAGGAGCCCAGCAGTCTGACTGAGCCCGACTGGGCGCCGACTGGGCGCTCTACGTGTGCGCGGCACACGTAGATGGTGCATCCGGTGGCAGGGAAGAGGGGTTTTCATGACCTGAACCGTTTCCAGGTCGGTTGATCAATGAAGCTGTGAAGATGTGAAGCAGTTGAAGCTGTGAATATTGATTGGCCATTTTCCATGCAGAGGTGAAATACTGTACCCTAGATATCCCTAGCTCCTATGTTTTTTTCAGGTTCACCTGCAACTGGAGCGTTGAGATATAGTTGGGGGTTCTTCTTCGTGGTTTGGTGTTTGACTTTAGCGTTCCACTGCAGTCTCAGCTCGACCGAGTCGTGTCGTTCGAGGGTTCGAGGACCGAGGACCGTGTCGTTGCGTTCGAGGGAGTTGTCGTTCTTTGGAACTCCAGATTTCATGGCTCGCCATGGTCGGTGCAGATGAGAACTTGCCAGCTAGATCCAGCTATATAGCTAGACGCTCGAGCGGGTATTCCAATAGCTAGATCCAGCCGCTTTTGTGCGAGACGAAACGTGGGAGAGTTCATCCTACACCTGAAGGAATCGTTCCTGGTGCACAGCAGGGCACAGCTTAAGGCGCTGCAGTTGGCAACCATCTGTTTGTGCCCGAACCAACTGTGAGGCAACCCGAACCAACATGTGGAAGATGTTTGAGAAAGCCACCAGTTTTTCAGCGATTCTGCAAAGTTGTCATTCCTAAGTAAGTGAAAACATCTCAGGCGTTTTTAGGTGTTTTTTGGAGGTGTACCGCTTTGTTCCAGCTTTGTTCCAGCTGAGTGTGTTTTTCATGGCAAACACACATGTTCCATGTCAAAATGATTTCTTGGCAGAAGCTCCTTCCTTCAGGGTACTGTAGCTCAGAGACGTCAGATCCCTTAAGAATCTCAGAGTCGCTGTGCTGAGCTGGGCTCTTTTTGCAGCCCCAAGTTGGAAAAACCCTAAGAAGTCTTGGCGTTTAGAGTCTAGAGAAGTGTTAAGATTGCCAATTGAAGTGTTAAGATTGGCTCTTTTCTGCGCTCAAGGAACCCGACACATCAGCGAGGGACCAGGCATTGACCTCCTTGATCATAGCGACTCAAACTGATGTGACATGGAAGTCAAACATCCTGAGCAAATTGCCTTCAGAGGTCAAGTATGGTCAAGTAGCAAAGCCAGAAGACATGTTATTCTGTTGAACCGTGCGGGCTGGATGGATGTATCATGTGCCGAGTCCAGATGTCGCACACCACGTTTTTAAATTCGTGCAATTCGCGTTCTTTGATTGTATGTGTCAAATTGAACATTTTGAAGCATGTGGGCATTTGTTTAGATCTGTCCAACTAATTATTACACTCTTGTGAATCTCCAGCACATTTTTGAGGCCAGGCCAGTTGTATCAGTCAACATCAACTCACCCATGGTCAAGTCACCAAAGCTAAAAGGCACTAATCATAGTCTATTCCATTTTCTCCATGTTTCTTTGTCTCGGGACCAAAAAGGCCGAGTCTCCCTCTGAGGCCGACTGCATCAATTGAAGCAGATGGCTGGTGGTGATATCCAAATCGCCTTCCAGGCAACGGAAGAGAGATGCTGCAGCCTTGCAGAGCGGAGTGCAGAGCAGTTGTCAGCTGCTTTGAAAAAGGCTGTTGACTAACCACACATCAAACCACAAGACCACAAACCATATGTAAACAGTTGACTAATAACACCCCAGCACAAAAGACGCATCAAACCTCCCAAAGCCTGGAGATGTCATACCATGAACACTTGCCTACACTTGCAGGATGGTCTAGTTACTTAGTCGCATAGGCCATGGGGGCGGCTGACATTTGAACTTTGCGCAAGACCCTCCAGAAACATCGAGCTGAGGCCCAAGGAGAGGAAAGAGCTGAGGTCCAAACCACTGCTTGGCCTGCTGAAACATGCTGAAACACACTCAGAATACCTATATACTTCTATAGTCCTGCAGCATCCCACAGCCTTTTCTGTCGCCAGACGAAGCCCGATCATGGGAACGCCGTGGCCGTGATTCGAGGGCCGCAGGCCGGTTGTTCTCGGGTGGGTTATGCAGCTCGAGGATCGAGGGGTTTTTAAACGACACGTATTGACTACGTATGGTTGATGAATTCGCAGTCAGTTTGCTAAGAGAGTCAACACTTGTTGCACTGGCATTGCCCTGTAGCTCACAATGTTCACTTCTCCATGCCACAGCGCTTCTTGAGGCACATGCCAGTCTGGGTGCCATCCTGGTGATGCAGGCGAGAGGGGGCGGGGGGCACGCACGGGGTTAAGTTTTGCATATGTCTGGGGTGTTTAGATTGGAATCTCATGGTAGAAGTATAATTATTGGTACTGCATAGTATAGTATAGCTAAGATTTCTGGCCTGGCTAGTTTGTCAGTGGAGTTTGTGAGCCACTTGGAGTTAGTATGTTGCGGAATTTCCTTCTAGAGGTGTGCAACATCCAAAAGATCAGAAAGCATCGAGACATTGGGTCCAATTAGACCAAGCTCTCAGAAAGGCAGGATGGAAGATGTTCAGTCAAGTTTAGTCAGGAGTTTGGAAGGTTCTGTGTGCGAAACGATGATATATCGATGTCTTTTGCTCAACCACAACCAACAACAAGAAAGCCATCCGAAGCCAGTGGCACACAGATGCACCAAGTGGAAGGTGCCTGCCGTACGCTACAACAGTGCCTTTGTTTCTTGGGGCCGTCTTCACCAGCGCAGCGGGCCGGCCGGCCCTGCCCTGCAGGAGCTTTGCGACCTGGTTCAGATCCCCGTGTGACGACCAGGTGCCACCGACGGCACAACGAATGCACACCGGCCCTGGCGGTTGGTGACGGTGGGTGAACGGGCGCCCGACCTGGATGGTTGAAATGGGGACCTGGATGGACCGATCAGTTGGAAAAGTCCCACCCCTTGTACCTTAAGTTCAATGTGGTGACCGCATTGTTTGTCCACCTGCCAACAAGCCCACTAACATTGACATGCTTTTGGAGGGACAGGGGCGATACGGATGACACTTGCAGCCTTTTGACCTTTGCTCCAGCTCCTGTCCACGTTTGCTTGCAGTGAAGGCTCTTGCCCAGCTCCCCCTTTCCCCGATCAATGAGATCAGGATCGAGATAGATCAAGAGACAAACCAAGCATCTTCGCACCCCGGTGTTTGGTATGATCCACATCCATCCACCTCCGCTTCGTGACCCGTAAGACGCCAAACCGGCTGGCTTTTTTTGTGCCGTTCGTGACCCTTCACAGGCCCTGGAAAAACCGTGACCTGAAAAAGAGTGATCTCAAAGGTTCACTTTGAAATACTTTGAAGAACCTTTGATCAGGACCGACCATTCTATCATATTCAGTTATAGGTCCTGAATATTCCTGAATATGATAGAATGATCAGGACCTATAGTCATATTGATCCTTCCGAACCTTAATGAATCTTATAATAAGGACCGGATCCAACCGGTTTGCTTTGCTCTTCAAGGACCGACCAGTCGATCGACCAGTCGATCGTTTGAGGTGGCCATCCTCGCCCTCTTCGGGGGCCGCGCGGTTGGGCACGCAGACTGAGGCGACAGCCGCCGACCGAAAAACGAGGGTCGGCCATGTCGCCGCAGAGAGACCTCGGGATTGGTTCATCATTGGCTGGGAAGTCCAGTGACCTTTCTCCCGCAAAGCTACTGTACTAGGAGCGATCGGACGCAAGAAAGTAGCTCCTGGCATCGCTACTGTACTAGGAGCGATCGGACACTACGAGGATTTCTTCGTACTGACCCTAAAGCTTTTGACCGCCACCTATCCCGTAACGACCAGCTCCCGCGAGCTATCCCGCGACGAAGACCCGCTAGACATCGCGACGCGGTGGGCAATGGCAAAAAAGGAGCGCATCCGCCGTGGCCAAGAAGAGTCGACCAACAAAGTATATGTAGCTAGAAGCTATTAGGTGGAGGCCATCCCTATTAGGGTGGAGGCCATCGCTACTAGTAGCAAGAAGCTACTAGTAGCTAGAAGCTACCAACAAAGTATATGATGAATGAAGTGGGCGCTGAACTGGCGTGACCGATGGTGGCGCCATTTGGACCATACACAGGACGTTGATATTTTGGTGGCTTCTTTTTCTTGATTTTCTGCATTGTAGAACCACGTTGTGCATGTATTTCATTGTATTATTGTGATATTCTATAGAGGCCTGATTCGACCTGTTGCATCTCGTTGGAGCTTGCATCTTGACCTGTTCTTTTTTTCAGCCTTCTTCAGCAGGTTGTTTTGAGCATCAGGCACTACTGAGTGACAAGCCAGGGTCAAAATGTTTCCAACATGTTTTGCCCAATATTTGGGCATCGGCTGTTGCAATATTGTTCTAGTGGTCTTAGGGTCTCGGGTTCTTCCAATTCCTAGTCATAGTTGACCCATAAAAGACAGACAGTGATGGAAGTGAAAACAACCACAAAGTCCTGCTACTAATACTGCTACCACCAGGACGCTGACGACGACTACTACTGCTGCTGCTGCTGCTAGTACTACTACTACTAAAAACATTACACAATATTACCAACAAATATTACAATTACTGCTACAAGTACGAATTACATTGCAACAACAACTGCGTTGAATACATGAAGTGTACGCGTTCTTTTGGGAGCGCATGATCCTTGAACTTTGACTTCCCATGGCTGACAGTGCCTTGGCGCCAGTGGATGGAGATGTATGCAACTGTCAAAATTATAGGACTATCCAATCCTTCTTCGGGGTGATGTATTTTGAACCTTTTGGTTGCGCATCTAATCTCCAAGGTCTTAGTTTCTTCGTGTTTTGCCCTGCTAAATTCGATGTTTGCGAATTCGATGTTCGCATCACGATCGTTTCGAAGGTCCAAAACACAGAGAGTTGCTTGGAATGCTGACGATGCAGATGCACTGTACTCAATGCACTATGTGCACATATGTGCACATACTGTGCATACGCGATTGATAATCTGATTACAAGGAACTTATTGCCAAATATTCCCAAACATATCATGCAAAGATATCATGTGTTCGCTGTATTCACAACCCTACGTCGTCCTGGTCTGAGTGTTTTGTGAGAGACGTATTGTCGAGATGTCAGATGTTCCATGGCGCAATGATTGGGAACACGATAGGAGGAAACAACGATCATTGGCTGAAGATCCGCGGACGTGCCTTCGACTTGCCTTGGAGTCCTTGACAATAATTGTGATTCCCACTGATGGCACTGCACTCCCGAAAACTAACATATATCCTGACAATGGTCCCATGGAAGACTATTTTCCTCTATCAACCACCAGGGGTTGTCAGGTTCCATGGTAGTCTTCCAGGGTGCAACTATACAGAAGAGAGAGAATCAATTTTGCCAAACAACACCCCGAAGCATCAAACAACAACACACTGCTGGATGAGTGTGGCTACCCTCCATGCAGCAATCATAGAAGAGAACAGCCTGGCCCCTGGAATGACCAGTTTCCTCTATAAACAGGCGGTTGTCCGCTGAAAGATAATTCCAGCGAGTGGAACTCTTCGCAGACTTCTCCCTCACTGAACACCCCCCAAAAATCATTCACATCCCTTGTGTTCTGTGTGACGTTCTCCCCAACGACGTTCTCCACCCCGGTGTCAATTCCGCCTTCCTGGCCACCCCTGCAGCCTGGACCGCCTGGAACGGCCCGTCGGACCAGGTGGGGAGCCCCACAGGCCACCGGGCGGCTCGGCGAGCGCTGGCTTAGGGGGGCGAAGGTTGGAGCTCGGCGGCTTGGAGCTCGGCCAGGGGGAGCTCCAGCAGATAGACATGGCACGGGGCCCACAAGATGTCTAGATGGGGGTCCATATATACCAGCTAACTGACCTAACTTGGGCATTGGGCCATCTACTCTCAATCCACTACGGACTTGTTCATGATTAGGGATCCAACACTACTCCTAGAAAATGCCTGAGCGCTTCCAGTCAAATGTACAGCAGCTCGGCGACTTCAGCTCGGTCCACAGTTATCAGACTTTAGGACCTCTAGGACCGGGATCAGCACAAGAAGCGATGAAGCAGCGATGGATCGGGATACAAGATGAGAGGAATCCCAAGACTTGGTGATCACTGATCCTCAGTGATGGTCTTGCGGTACGCGCGAGCGCCATCCTGCCATACAGGAGAAGACAAGAAGACATGCTTTTTTGCATTTGTTTGCTAAATTCTAGGTCACCCAACTCAGACCGACCACGGTCATCTGGCTTGTGATTGTAGCGTTCTGGCAGCAGCTGAAGGTCATCCACGGTGATTCGTTGCACGAATTGCTTCAGGAAAAGGGGCACTTAGAAAGAATAAGACACAGCGTTGTCAATCATCATGCCAGAACAGAAGGTGGGTCATCAGGCCACAGCCACATGTTATAATATTAATTGTTGATGTATGGGGAGAAGAATCTTCCGTGTGTTTCTCACTTGGGCCATTTGCAAACGCTTGAGCCATGTCGTGGTTGTGCCGCTTGAGGTGTGGTGACGTCCACAACCGTCGCGGCGACGGTTGTTTCAGTGTTTGGGTCCCTGTGTAGAAGAATAGAGTGGCACCTATGGCACCTATCGTCCTTGTCAGGCGTGTAATGGACTTGTCTAGGTTAATGGTCATTCTGGTTTTGTGGAGGTTGAAGAGTTATTCTGTTGTGTAAAGACAAGCTAACTTCGCCTAATTAATCATTTTGTTAGGAGCATTCAACTCCTCATCTTAGAAAAACATTATGTTGAGTGTCACAGCAGCTGTGCCAGTGACGATCGGTAGTTCTTGCCAGTTTGGGCCTGTGTTTTAGGACAATGCTTTGGGAAACCGACACTATAGTAGATAGATACTATAGGCGTTTCGGAGCTGTAGGGGTCTAGTCATTGAAGTTGCTGGCTGCCGGGTCCTCTCATTTATGATCGAGCCTTATTTCACATTCGGGAGGTCTTTTGGAGTTTGACAGACCCTGAATAATACCCAGGCACTCCATGTATATTTACCATTATTTACCGATCAGTTGGGGTGGTTTGAGGGGTCAACGTATATATGACAAGCCCATGGGTCGTGTTTGCTCCGATCGGGCGACGTCGAGCTCGGGTGTCGCAGACTGAGAACCCGCTGGGTAGACTGAGGTAGAGGGGAGCTAGCTCGGATAAAGATGGAAGAACCAAGCAGAACCTGACACTTCAAAGCATATCAAGACCACTTTGGAATCTTTGGAATTTTTTTCATACGATTATATTAAAAAAGTAATAAACATATACATATATAGTCTAGTACATGTAATGGTATAGTATATTCAGCGTTTGTCTATTCATTCCCGTGTTTCTGTTTCAAGCAATCAGACCGTCCAAGTCCTTACCATGCCCTTTTCACCCGGTCCTCACGGCAGGTGGAGCACTGCGCTAACCACTGGGCTGAGGCGCTACAGCGATGTGACGTCGAGTAGCGGTGGCGCAGCCGTGCGGCGGGCGCAGTTGCTGGCCTTGAAGGGCGGACGGCGGTTGCCCACTGTCAAACGATCCAGGCCGATCCCGAAAGGGGCAGGGACCATGGGGATGGGAAGGGGGTCGGATGGGCTGCAGTGATGGGATAGCGATGTGGGGTAGTGGGATTTGGGATGATGCATGGGGTAGTGGGACGTGGGACGATGGGGCGAGGTGATCCTTTTGGTTGCGGAGATGGGATGGGATGATGCAAAGATCCTGAATTTGGCTAGCCGAGTAGCTTTCTGACGACATGGGGGGGTGGGCGGGTGATGCTCGAACGGGCCGCGGTCGTGCGTTTGTGGAAGAAGTGCCTCGCCGCATGAGCCGTGCTCGAAGAAGCTCGAACCTTGCCGCAGATTTGTTCAGCAGAACTGCGCGCACGCTCAAGGCTACCAGAATTGAGTGAAATTTTGACGGCAAACTAGTCGGGGCGTGGGAATAACGTGTGTTCCCGGCATGATGCTTGGTCAGGCCTTTGGTTGTTACTTGCAAAACATACTGTTACCTTCGAACACATATTGAACCACCGCTTCAAAACGGCTCAAAACGTCAACCTTTCAATCTGACAATTTGGCTCCTGAAGCAGCAAAAGGAAGTGCATGTAAGAGCTCCAGGCATCCCAAAAAGACCTGGATTTCTTTGGGCACCCCGAGCTGATTCGCTGTGCACGGTTTCAATCCGTTCGTCGACTGGGTGCGGGCAAGGCGTCAGTTGGGCATCAGCATGGTGAACCCTGTGGCAGAGACTGCTGCCAGAGAGCTCAGAACCGGGCGCAGGGCATAAGCCTCCCATATGAAGAGGTTGTTCAATCCAACTGTGGGTTTGACTACTCAAGAGTCTACAAATGCATGGTGGTTGGGTGACCCAATAGATGAACCTACCTGGTAGTTCGAGTGAAGTAGGGAGAGTCAGCTGTCGCGGTGATGAGGAACGATGAACCGTCCGACTCGCGTCCACGGGGACCACGGGGACCTCTGCCAACCAGAAGATTTCAGAAGGAAACACATCAGGGAACCAGAATGGAATCCAAGCAGAACCGAGCAGAACCAAGCCCTTCTCAGCCATATAGGCAAGTCCGCTAGTCAGTACGCTTTGCCCATTCACTTTTTGTTGGGCCGGTTGGGGACATGTGACATGCTGCGATGTTGCTTAGAGGAAGCTGACAACAGGACACTCAGCCGTTCCAATCTTTGTGAATTTGAAACGAGTTTAGCGTACATAACCATGAACTGTAATACGTAGTATGTAATAGCAACGTGTTTGATTTGTGCAATTTGTACAGAATACTTCACTTGAGCCAAGTGCTGCGGGTAAAAGTTGTTTGTTCCAACTTATCTCCCCTATCGACCTTTTGCGGATGATAACACAATGTCACAAGATATCAATACACGTCTCATTGATATGTGTCCTTTTGGTATTTGTCATCAGGATACTTTTTTGCTTTTATAACTTGGGATTCCCCCAGTCATCTCAAGTCATTTTATGTCCGTGTGATTCACACAAGTGCTGATCTGTTTGACTGAATAGATTGGGGATTCCCCACTCTAATGCCTGAGGTTTCTCCACAGGAAGGCCATTCAGTTCCCACAGACAATGCTTTAGACATGCCTTTTCGGACCTTAGCAATTCATCCTCTATTTGTTCATGCCTGGATTCAGTATCACGCACACCTGCGTTTCTGGGGCGTTTCTTGCAGGAGACGCGGCTGAGCTGCAGCGATCCTCAACAGCAGGCAACCATGCAGGACAGCCCCCTGTGCTTTGGGTGGTTTGAGGGTTTGGTCATTGAAGGCTGTTTCAATGTCATGCTTTCTGCACACTTCTTCCAAGCAAGTGTGATCAAGTGTGCATGAACCTTTTTTGAGATAAACGCCATCAGATTGAAAAGACTCAGAGATTTCAGTTCCATTCTACTGCAACTTGTAAGGGTGGCAAAAGTATAAACATTGTGGTTTTAGGCATTAAGGCCTGGATGAACGCCATGGACGACAAGGGCCAACCTGGCGGTTACCCTTCCTGACCAGATGTGCATGACGTGTCGCTGGAATTCACCAGTTTGGTGATGTGCCTGACCAGAGTGCCAGCGGAGGGCCTACCTACCAAAGGAATTGGAAGCTTGATGGCTTGATGTAGCTGACTCCAATAAGGATCCGTTGCGGGTCACTATCACAGCCCCCTGTGCCCTACACTTGTCCCGTACACTCGTCCCCAGACGGTCCGATCCTCCATGCGACCGGACTGGAGAAGCTGACTGGATCCCATTGCTGTACACTGGACTGGATCCTAGAATCCTAGAATCCTCCAGGGTCCAAGTATCCTGGGCACTGGATCCAAGACTACTTGTTAATAGAGGGTCCAAGACGGCAGACTGGACCCTGGAGACGGCGGTTCTCCGCCCAGCCACCGGTGGAGCCAGCCCCTGCAGGAGATGTTCAGATCTGGAAGGCGCGGTGACCTGGAGACCTGGGCGATGAACGCTGGCGTCAGATTGTCTCATCTCCAAAGTGGTTGCCATGTCATGGGATTTGAGCCTGGAGTTCTGGGGCAACAAAGAGACACAAGGGACATACCAACCATGATCAACCTCGAAATCAGAACTCCTTTCAACTCTGGGGTCTCCCAAAAATGAACATCGCACATCCAACCAGGATCAACCAGGTATATCCAGGTATCAGATTCGATGAAACAACCCACTGGGGTCGATGAAACAGGCCCCACTCGTTGGTCTTCGAGTAGGGGCACCGCCCAGAAACTGCAGGCGAGCGAGATCGGGTCCCGGTCGAGAACGGGAGACGAGAGACGACTGAGACGACTGAGACGACTGAGGCGGGAGTGGGACAGCGCTTTCGAAGAGTATGGGCGCATTAGCAATCCTGAGCCTGCAGTGCCCCGGATGCAGAGTCTGGGGAGTTCCTGAGTGGAGGTTCTTGTTTTGTTTTTTGTTTTTTGCGAGATGCTCTGAGACTCCATGGGACTCAGGAATGATCACTACATTGGGTAGACGCCTGTTTTGACGGCTGTTTTTCAAAGCAAAGGGTCAAGGTTTGGGTAGGTATTGTTGGACCAAGCTCCCGTAGCACTTCTGCCTACAGCTTGGGTTCTGCAGTCCTGCTGAGTTGACTTGTGGGTTTCTACCCTTTTGCCCTCGGAGTTGGCTACCCCTTGAGCCAAGGTTCTTTGTTGCGAAGGTGTTGCTTTAGGCCTGTAGGCTTTTTTGAGCTCA